GTTTTAAATGTTTTTAGTTATTTTATATTAAAATTTCAGAAAATATATATTCAACATCAAATGTATCCTAAAATGACCCCTTTCATATTACTATTTCTATGAAACAAATAAATTATGCTACGAAAAATTTGATGTTTTCATTCTGATAAAATTATTAACAAATGAATAAGAAAAATATAAGGAAAATTCAGGAAAACTGATTAGCAAAAAACTTAAATTATTATAATTACTTCGATAGATTTAAAAACTATACAAATTTATAAGAAAAAAATATAAATTAATGTACATGAAATTCATGCTTTGAAAAAATTCGTAAAATATGAAATGTAAAGAACATAAATCAAACGTTATACTTTATCTAACAGAATGAAAACAAATAGCACTTGTTGAAATACTTCATTGAGAAGGTAGTTACATAAAGAGTATATACTGTTTTTTATTGTCTGTGCTTTAAGTGACTAAGTAAGCGTTATGGTTCTTACTGACTTTGTGTCCGCCACCAGAATTTGTACTTAACCCTGCTTTTGGCTTGTTCCTGTAACATTTAAAGTGAATATTAATAGTTACAGGATATATTACAATTAATATTACACTTACATGCTTGTAGTGTTAATAGCCGTTGGTTTTGTTGTTGTTGTAGAGACTTTCTCTTCGTTATCTGATAATTCTAATTCCGAACTTGACGATTTTCCACGACGACCATAATATCTAAATCAATCAACAAAAAAAATTAAAAATATAATGGAAATCTTATATTAGGTATACAAATTATATTAATACCTTGGCAGTGCCGGGATCTTAGTTTCGGGGCTTCGAGAACGTTTGCATCTAGATTGACTTCTGGATCTTGATCTAGATCTAGACTGAGATTTAGTTCTGGATCGCGATTTAGATGCTGATTTTGAGAGAGAATAATGTCTTCTGCGATAACTATCTCTCGAGTGACTTCTATTATGTGACCTAGACCTCGATTTTGATCGCAATCTTGATCTTGATCTTGACTTGGATTTCGATCTAGACCCACTACTCGAAGAGGAACTTCTGGATCTTTTCGGACGCGAACGAGATCTAGATCTTGTCTTTGATCTTGAAACAGTACGCGAACGGGATCTACTGAAACTTCTATAACGGCTTCTAGATTCGCTTCTGGTTCGCGATCTTCTTGAACGACTTCTTGATCTTGTGATTTTTCTGTGTTTCGAATGTGTTCTTCTTGATCTAAAAATTATTATATTAATTAACAACTGTATAAAGGTAAGGTAATAAACTTACCTTATTCTTGATGTACTTCGTTTTCTGTCACGGTTCCTGTACGATTTAGATTTATTAACGGATCTAGAACAACTTCTGGATCTTGATTTTGAAAGTTTTCTATTAACTATTCTCTCGTTAAGCGCTGGACTGTCTGATCTCCGACGCCTGAGATGAGAGTAATTGATTTTCTTCGAATTGGAAGAGGTAACATGGGATGAACTTCCATGAGTTTCTTCTTCACCACCGAAACTTGTGATATAGGTGATTTGTCCAGTATTTACAGGGGATGCTGATCTAGATCGAGACTTGGAAGAAGATTTTCTGTATGGATTATATTCTGGACTTTCTCGGGCTGCGTAGCTAAGAAACAAAAAAGTTCATTAAATTTTTATAATTAAGTATTAGAGATTTTCGATCAAATGAAATTACCTAGGTGGACTCATGACTCGACCGATCATTTTCTTTTCTCTAAATGCACGTCTCTCTCTACGTGATCTTCTACCCTGTGTATTATTAGTATATTAAATGCAATGAATATTTTTTATTATTATGATTATAAAAGTGTATGCAACATATTTTACCGAGTACATCGCTTTTTCTTCTTCTTGTTTACGCGCTTGTCTTAACGTTTCAGCTTCTTCAAAATCTTGTGTTAAAAAACTAAAATAATCAGCTCCTAGGAGTCCATATTTCTGTGCTACTAAATTCATTTCGTGTGCTTGAGATGGTTCTATTTGAGATACATCTACACAGATGTCTGAAAAAAATTAAATTTCTAATTTATATCTAATATCAACAATTTAACCAATTATCGAAGCGATATAAGATTTATATACCTAAATCAATATCACTATCTTCATCGTCTGCTTTTTCATCAGATACAACATTATCTAATGATTTCATTGTTTCGGGTATCGGTTCTTCCGTTTCGTAGTTGTATCCGATGGCTACGTTATTACAAGATTTCTTCTTGTCTTTAATAGAATCTAATTTCGTCGAAGAACCGAATTGTTCCTCTAAATGTATTTGATGTAGAAATTTTTCTTCCGTTACTGTATTAAAACATATTAATCATCAAACAAATCAAAATGAAAATTTAATAACAGTATTAAAACAAGTGCAATTTCCGACCTCCTAAAAATTCATTTTGAACGATTATACGATAACGTTCATAATTGATATGTCTATCTTCGCTAGTAAGAGCAATATCTACATCAATAGAATCTGGTGCTTCTGGTATCCAATCAAGGTGAGCCCTCACATCAAAGCGGTCGATAAGATTGTCTTCGTTTCCTTGCCATGGCATCCTGTTAATGAGATGTTATTTATTTACAGTTTGTTCAAGACTGATACAAATACAAAGTATGTAAATGTGTATTAACTTACATATTTGCTGGACTATCTCCAGCTGTAGCTATCGCTGGGTCCAAATGAATTTTACACGGCCTCCCATGGAGTTGCAAAAATTGTGTAGGATCCGATTTCTAAAATTTTACATATCAGAAAAAAATAAGACGAATCATTTTACTTAATTTTTTTTTAAATTTTAATAACTTAATTAAGGTTAACAGCAAACAAAAAAATCTTTCATATTATATCGTACAAAATTAGAATTAGCTGGTATTATGAGATTGAAACTTGTGTATTTATTTAATTAGATTTCTTACAATTTTTTCATAATAATCTCGTCGACGTTCAGCTCGACGACGATAATCCACTAGCATTCCACGAATTTTCTTTTCCTGTTTTCGTGCTTCATGCCACATTCTACCACCTGTTTTTTTCACGGAAAAGCTCATTTTACATATTTAGATAATTCACAGATTGCTAAATTAGAAAGGAACTTTCGTGTAGTTAACGAATTTATAGAACGAATCCGAAAAGTTATTAATTAACAGACTTTTCTCCCGCGAGGTAGACATATTGTATTTTACCATAAGCGCTACTTCGTATCCAGAAAATATGATCCCACGTTACTCCACTGGTAATGTATACTAAAGATAGGTTGAAATTTGTTCAGTATGGTTCAGTATGAACGGAACCAAACGGAACTCAACGGAACCTCAACATTTTACCGCTGTAACATTCCGGACGGTTTAATTCTTCAATAAAATGGGTAAGACGAAAGACGGTAGCTCAGAAGAAGATATGACTATAGGTAGGATTTGGATATATGAAATAATTAACATTTATTTCATGTAATTGTAATTAAATCTATCATTTTCGCTTGTATTTCAATTTCATCGTTGAGGTTATTGAAGCGCTATGAGACAGTAAACTGTATGAAGCGACATCACTAGTAAACAATCACAATAGCGCTTTACAGAAACGTGTACCGTGGAAAATTTGAAAATCTTTATACATATTTACGTTTAATTCCACTTACCCCTCAGTAATTGTCATTACTTATATATTATTTACTTCTCAGAAACTAATGATGTGTCTCCCCAAAAGAGGCATAAAAAACATAAGCATAAAAAGCATAAAAAGAAAAAGGCAACACACGATGGCAATGAAAATTTTAATGATGCTACTGTTGAAACTGAAAAGAAGAAAACATTCAGAGTTAAAATGAAGAAAGATGATGACAAAAGGTAAATCAGATGTAGAAGGAATAGAAGGAATATAATTTAGTTGATGTTTGTATTAATGCTTTACAGTTCAGAGAAATCTCGTGAAAAAATGCAAAAGGCATCCAACCTAAGTATTGCAGGTTCAAGCGCTACGCCATCACCAAAAGCTCCCACAAAGAAAAAGGTTCCAAAGAGCAATAAAGGTAAAGATAGTGGTACTAGCAGCGAAGAAGAAAGATGGCTTGATGCAATAGAATCTGGGAAATTGGAAGAAGTCAGTAATCACTAATGGTAACTGAATGCAAATGCTAATCATTTTAAAGGGCAATAAGAGAATCATATTCTAGGTTGATGATGAATTGAAGAAAATTAAGCCAAAAGATCCAAAGTTAATGACAGCTCGTCAAAGAGCTATGTTTGAAAGAAAAACTGATACTGAAGCAAATCCTGGTGTTGAACAGCTGATGTCCTTACCAACGGGATACAAAGAAAAAGTTATGACAGCTGAAGCTATACAAAAGGCTGCTCTTAAATCATTAAAAAGAAAACAACTTGCTGATGAGAAAAGGGAAAAAGATAAGGTAATACAGTTATTAGTATATCGAATTTTTATATTTTTTATTATAGATGAAAAACACATAATTAATAAGAATTTCTTTTTCATCTTTTTAGAAAAAAACGATGGAAAGATTGCTGAAGAAACAAGAATCTAAAGCTTCTAAAGTTATTAGCAAAGGTAAGCCTTCCAGAAGGCAAGTTCCTTTGATCACATACCGTCTAACACTCGAAGGAAGCTCGATATCTTTACCAGCTGGGGAAGATTTTCCTTTACAGCCTGCACAGGTGTAAGTAAAATCATTAAGAACTTTCAACATTCATTACAGTTAATTATATCATTATTTTTTTTTGTTTCAAGGAAAGAACCATCAATGCAGGTTCTCTGTGGTGTAAATCAATGCAAAAATCCAAAGAAATATTCGTGCTCTAAAACGGGAGTGCCTTTGTGCAGTTTAGAATGTTATAAAGTTAATTTATCAACACCTGTATGAATTTTACATAATTAATTTTTAATTTCAGTATATTTAATTAACCTTACCTGGCTTTATATTATCGCTAACACGTTCGAATCTTTTCAGGAAACGCAATGAAAAATAATATATTATATCCAGAAAAATTTTTGTGAAAATTACAAATGAAATTGAAGCTTTAAATTTAACTATTAACTTAATAGTTAAATTGTAAATATTTTTGTACATACAATTATATTTATTTCTGTGTAATGTATAGAATATCAAGTTCTATTCATTTTTACATAAATAACTGTAGTTCATAAATAAAAGAAGAAGAATCAGGTAACGTTTATCATTAACTAAAATTTATTAATAATAAGTAATAAGTAAGCATTGTATCTTTTCAAAAATAGAAAATATCCGAATCTTCAACGAATGCAACTTTCGTAACTAGGACTAGTTTAGACCTTGCTTTCACCAACCAAGATAGGCTCAACCAAGTCGTGGCTTGATCGTCGAACGCATAACATCGCGAAAACATATATCCGGAGCATCATTGGTTTGTGATTCGCGATGATAACACGACAATTAACATAAACTGTCAAGTTTTAATCAAACCCAGATCTTCTGGGTTAAAATGTGGTGGAGCAACAATTTTATAATTCTCGCCATTTTAGTTTCATTAGAAATTTCAAGATCTCAAACGCGAGGTGAGAAAATTATTTATAAACTTGAAACCGTTTATATTTATTTCAACAAAAACTGTGAAAGTGTAATGATTAATAATTACTAGTTATTTAATCAGTGCATTCATTATTGTGTACTTAGGAATTTTTTAAAACAAATTAATTTTTATTTTAGTGTTCTACTAGTTGCAAGTATTTAAAAAAACAACCTCTGTTATTTAATATTTTATATAAAATTGTACTTTTTATAAATATTTAAGTTCAGGAAAAATTGAATTATTTTTCTACATTCTCATTAAGAAGAAAACCACTGATTGAATTCACTTCTTTCTTTAAATATCAGATGCCGGTAATCACGAATGTCTGCGATTTTGTACTGATGAGGCGCTTTCGAAAAAATTATGCCGCTACGAGTTCTACGTCGGTGAATTATCTAGCACGATCAGGTGAGATAGAAACCACAGAACTTATTAGTGCATTTAGTATAACTGGAAGAGTACGCTTTCGAAAATTGAATTCACTGAAGAAGAAAAATGCCTAAAGACTTTCTGCCTTTTGCTGAAACTGATGCAAGCCACATCTTTGAAAAAGATGTTATATAATAGATGTCATTAATTTGGAAAAATTTGAATATTTCATAATACAATTACTTATCCTTGGACTTTTCAAAGAGAGACTCCTGTTCCATAGAAGAACCGGTCGGAATCTCGGTCAATTGTACTGATATATGAATATAAGTGATCCAACTGTGATCCAAGAACTAACGGTTGACACGCTTGGTTACAGAGAGTGCATCTTGAACTTTTCTTAATACCAAACAGGTTTCTATCGCGAACGTGTTTACTTGTACTATAGATAGTTAAGGGAAAATAGAAGGCATTATATACTCTGTGTAAATCCTGCAAGAAGAGTAACTGTTATTGCGATTTTCCTCTCACAGGAAGAATCTCTTCTAGTCAGCCAGAAAGTGCATCCTGGTGCATCTTAGTGCATCCGTTAGACGCTGAATACAAATGAAACTTTTATTTTATTTTATTTCATTTCAGTTGATTTCACATTTATGATTTGCAATTCAGGTAGTAGATGACCTGAATAGGAGTTTCAAGGCAAACAAAACGTGAAACATGTTTTCAAATGATTAGTTCCTTGAATTAATTTTGTATGCTAAAACATCATTGAAATTTTTGCATGATTTCATTATCACGTTTTTAATTAAAATTCATGTAATTTTTATTTCTTTCATTTTCAATAACACTTGCAGTTCCCATAACAGATCCAAGGTCAAGGACGACTCTAGAATTCCATCAAAAAGTTTTCTGGGAATTAATGGAAAAAGTCCCGGTCCACAAATAGAGGTAATTAAAGATTGTTTCTTTCTTAATCTTTCACCGTTTAGTTTCGGTACGATTTTACTTGCGAAAGGATTTATTAATTGTTTCGACATTCGTGAAAATTTTGCAATTTTTCGTATTATGAAAGTGAAAGTCAGTTTCTTTTTTCCTATAATAAGGTTTCTATTTTATATGCTGAAATGATCAATCAATTTTTAGATTTGCTTTGGGGATACAATTGAAGTACTTTTGTACAATAGATTAGGATCCGAAGAATTATCTTTACATTGGCATGGATTACGACAAAAAGGGTCCGCTCATATGGATGGTGTACCGATGGTTACACAATGTTCAATATTACCATTTGGTGGTTTTCGATACAAAATAAAACCGGAAAGAATTGGTTCATACATCTATTACGCACATTCAGGTAAGAAAACAATGTATTTCAATTTGGAATTTGTGTCAGGTTGATACAAATATAAAATGTTTTTTCAAAATTCGAATTTTGAATCAACTTAATATTTAAGTATAATATAATTAACATATAGCAACTAATAAAACTGGAAATCCAACAGCGATATATATTTAGTAATGTTATGTTGCTAATGTCATTTTTAAATAATATATCAGCTTTTGAATTTGATTTGATTTTCCCGCGCTGTAGAACGACTTCTACTTCCGCCCGGACAAGTAAAATTGAAGTAGATCAATAGTCCTGGAACCGTGTAGAAGTTAGGTTACATGTTGAAGCTCTCATTTTTGCGTTGTTCAAAGAAAAATCCTGTGCAATGTCAATCAGGTATATCGAGAAGCATCATATTACATTTATTTCAAAATTTACTTCCTCTTACATTAATTTGAAACAGTTTTGCGGTACAAAGGTGAAAAGTAGAATGATGTAACGGTCGCCAGCGATCAGGAATGCCCAGGTACTTCAAAATTTGATATGCAGAAAATAATTGTTCGTGACATTAACTACATTTCAATTATAATTAGTTGTTTTTTAATTCTTTCTATTTCTAAATTATAATCTTTTTTCCCAAATTATTTGTTGCAGAATTTTCATGTTTAAAAATAGGTATAATTGGAACTTAATGTAGATGTCCCTCATTCTTTTAACAAAAATTAGGAAAGGATATGTTATATAATCAAGGAGGTAATAAATTTAAAGCATTTACATATGAATTACATGATTAAAATAAATTTTTGACGAGGAATTAATGAACTCGTCCAACTTTTTTCAATCGGTACCATAGGATGTCGCTGCGGGTAGCGCAAAAAGAAATCGAAATTGTTGGAATGTTACCCTTATAATTTTTTTAATTGTAAAAACTCATAGTTGTTTTATGAAACATATATATTTATTTTTAATTAGATAATCGATCTTTTAGAAAATCGTACTGATCTACGAATCAATCAAATAAAGCAAGATTGAGCGGATCAATAAAGTTGCAAGAATACGGCCGCTTACTAGCATTGATAAAAATCAAACTTATAAATAAAATAGTATACAGTTACAAATTTGTAATCGTTTGTATGCTTTTCAATACCATAAAATCTTATTTAATATTTTTCGCGACCCAATTTCACTTACTAAGTGTAATTTTATAATTCTCGAACGGCGGACCATGGAGAGAGCGCTAATTAATTAATTAATTAATTTAATTTTGTAAATTTTACACTGTTTCTTTGAAAATTATCCTTCCAGTATATGAAACCCTTTCGTTTAAAAATGATGTATTTAAGTTTGGGTCACGATTGACCAGACTCCGCTGTTCAAGGATTAATTCGGGCAGTTATCGTTCTTCGGTAAATGCGAAATAATCAACTACATACAAAGTTTTCAATTAATCATTAAAGTGGTCCGAGTATTATAATGATGTTGTATTATTAGTTTCACAGCAAGCGGACGGCGTGTACGGGTCGTTGACAGTTCGAGGCCCACAGGATGACCCTAGCTTGGAAAGGATACTTCTGTTGTCATCAAGGCCACCAACTCCTCTGTCGTGGCATTCGCACCTACATCCACCTACGCCAGGTGTACTTCTCTTAAACGGCCAGGTACCGATTTGCCTAATTAACCAATTTCCATCGTTACATGCAATTTAATATACACATTTACATCACTAAATTTCCTTTCTCTTTTTCTACAGATCAGCGTCAAATGTAATAAAAAGAACACACGATTTTTGTGACAAACGCTCCAATGCGGCGTTTCTATCTTTAGAATATTTCAATTGAAAAGCAATCGCTCACGAATATTTTATTTAAAATGAAATTATATTTTCATAAAAGAAAGATTTGAAAAATTTCAAAAGACTATTGTACAATGATTACATCAACGTAACGATAATTTTCTCTCAGAGTGCTAAGCGCAACGTTTTTTAAAATATTGCTCATTAACCAGCTACTTTGTTTACAGACCGATGGAACGATCTTGAGAGTTAATCATGGCGCACAATATTTGTTACGACTGGTCAACGCGAACGCGTACAACTGCCCCGTACGAATATCCATTTCCAGACATGATTTTCGTGTGTCTGCTGCTGATGGGAACGTGGTTGATTCGGTGACAGGCAGACACATCGTTTCGTATCCTGGTAAGTTCACAATTTTTCTTCCTTGCATTATGCATATTCCACGCACGTAAGATACGATCGTTGTACGTGCAAAATTTTACGCGTGCGCACGCTTCTGTGCAAAATATTTTGACTGTTCCGAGTTTTTACACGTTGCTGTGTCATCTTACTTTCGAATAATTACGCTCTAAGAATGCATGTATGCACGAAGGTGGAGTGAAAGAGAGCAAAGAAGGAGAGGAAAGAAATTGCAATTGAAAATGAAAAAAGGGATCAAGTGTGATGTAAACCTTTAGGTAGATTTCAAATTGATCGGTAACAATACAATTTGAAATGTGCTCTTAAAATGTGAAGCAGCGAGTAGTGCTGAAGAGATCTATATGACCGATAAATACTGTGGTTGGATTCTTCAAGTATATGAGCTACCAGTAGAACGAAAAGCAATATGTCTTCTGTCAATTCAATGGAACAAAGAACTACAGATTGTAATGGTACAAAAAATGAAATAAGAGCAAAGAACCAAATGCTTAAATACGTTCTTGCGGAGTGTGATTCTGTTTTATAATATTTATCTCCAAGGAACCACAACAATGCTGTAAGAACTACGGCTGGAAGAAAGAAGAGGAAATAGCAGACTGCGCAGAAAAAGCAGCGACAAAAGTGAAGAGGATGTAACGTGATAAAAAGTGTGAAGGAAAGAGAAGGTATAACGAAAGGGAAACGATAAGGGGAATCGTAGCGGTGATATATCAACGGCGATAATTACATATTCATAGGTTGCAAGAAAGTAGTATAATAGAGGATCATGTTAAAAAGATCGTAGTATCGTAATTAATAAATGAGTAAAAAGTAAAGTGGAGAGGAAAAGAAGAGGAAAAAGTGTGAAGCAAACGAAAGGAGGGAACGAGAAAGGATGAAACGAGTCGCAAGGTCGTTTGGCGAACAAAGGAGGAAGGGAACGAATAGAGAGTAGACGGCGTCCAGCGAGAAGAAATGCGAAAGGGAAAGGGGCTGGAGAGGTGGAGGAGGAGAAAGAGACGAATCGAGAGAGGAAAGGATGAAACTGCTTGGCGCTCATACATTCAGCGATGCGTCGTGCAGCGGTGGGTAAGCTCGTTCGCGCAGACTCGGCCGTCTTCGTGTTCTCGCTGGGTTTCCGCAAAGGGAAATAAAGAAAGGAAGGCGACCAAGCGCGCGCGGTTCTCGCGCAAAAATCATTAAAACGCGTGCTCGATTCGCGGCTGCGGCGTCGTTGTCGGCTCGTACTCGACGATTTATTAGCGGCTACACGAGCGTACCTAACCGCCTGCCCGCCCGCCCGCCTTGTTCGCCTACCGGTTAACCGTCCACGTCCGTCCGCATCTCCGTCTCTCCTCCACGATTTCTTCGAAAACATTGGCCGCCACCGTTCGCGCGGCCCGTACACCGTGCCGCTTTGTTTCCCATGTCCAACGATCACGCGTGGAACGAGCCAGAGACGAACGATACGCGCCTCGGCATGGAGTGGACCCGCGACAAAACCCTCGAGCTACTGCGCGAGTATCAACAGAGACGCGTACTCTGGGACTGGAATGCACGCGGTTATCGGGACCGTACGAAGCGTAAACGCGCTATCCAAGAACTCGCCGAGATACTCTGCTGTAACACGCTCGAGATCGAGAAGAAGATCACCAATCTGAAGTGCCAGTATTCGAGGGAGGTTCACAAGATACAGAATAGCCGGGACGCCGCCACCGGACCCGACGATGTTTACGTGTCCAAGTGGTTCGCATTCAAGGCGATGCAGTTCCTGCAATTCGGCACGCGTAGATACAGCAAGAGGAAGAAGGTACGTTGCGATAAAAGGATGGACGCCAACCGCAAACGTATTTGTATTCTCACGCGAGAAACTCAGTTGCGATATTTTTCTCCACGTGTCGTCTCCGATAACGATGTATCAGTGGAAGAGTCGTTTTATGCGTGGTTCGGTTTTTCTACACATAAACCTTTGTCTTCTTTTACGTTCTTTTATGGACATTGTAGAAGTAGAACAGCCGTAAGGGATCCCTTTCTCCGGTCATAAGGAGGCCAGTTTACGCCATCGCGTAATTGACTAACCAATTTCGGAGAAAGATCATTGTGAGACTGAGCGAGTTTCGTGGAAACGACTATGAAGCATTCTTTCAAAACGTATTTTAGAGCGTCTGTCCACCACCTCGCGCTATTCGATCCTATTGCGTTTAATGTGTTCCGAATCTACTACGCACCGGGTGCGTCCTGTAATGAAATTGAAAGTTACCGAAGGAAAGTAATATACGCATTCAGAAACGGTACTAAATTCAATCTTTGAATTTAATTTTATATTGGATAATTCTTTTAATTTAAAAAAATTGCTTTTGAATACCCAGAAATAAACAATAGTTAAATAGATTGTTTTCTTATTTTATAAATTGTAGTTATAATTACGGAATGCAATAAATGGTTCACACCCTGCGCAGACACCCTCTATAATCGCGTGTGTTTTTTCCTAATTAAGCGTATCAGATTTATTCGTGCATTATTGTTCAGAATATTTAAACACATTCTCGTGAAAGTTTAACGCGAAGTTTCTTCATAGATCGAAATGTTAGATTAACGTTGAATCATGTGAACTCCAGGTATGGCTGTAGATTGGATCGCGATTCGATTCGATTGTTTTTATGGTGCCGTCTAATTACAATAACCAGGAATGTAAAGTTTTCTCCGTTCGATGTAAGTAGGTAAATTGTAAGCAGGGTGAATGATCGGAGCAAATTAGTTTGTATCCGTATAGAACCGTATTGGATCAACTACAATGGATAATATTGACTATTAATTAGATGAAAACTCGAAGAATCTAGAGAGTGATGATAATTATTAGATTGTTACAATCTTACAAGCATAAAATTACAAATTTTCATTCAAAGTATAAGAGGTGAAATTAAAATTGATCTAAAATTCATTACAGGCGCACAGTTTCTTAATACGAATTAAATCAAATCATTGAAGTGTTAACGTTTCACCTATAACGAGGAGCTATTTTAAATTCTTGACACATTTTATACCACGCATATAAGGAAAGGGTTAATCAGCAACTGGGTTTCGATCGCCGTACACGCCTTGATAAAACGATCATCGATCATCGCGAAGCAGGAAGTCCAATAACACCTGTCTAGAAATTCGCAAATCGTAGTAGCATGCATAGAATCAAGAATTCAAGATGTTATGATTATTAGAAAATCATTAGGATCAAAATCTTTACGCTTTTATATTAGTAACTCCTTGTCTTATGATTTCATAGTGAAGTACTAAATTATTTATATATAGAAATGCTTTGTATAAAGTTTCTTAATGTAGAAATTTTAAGTGAAATTATGGCTTTTTTTAGACTCTCCCAAGGTTTTTCCAAAGCTCTCCTTAGGTTCTCTCTAGGTTCTCCCTAGACTCTCCTTAAGTTCTCCTTAGACTCTCTCTAGGCTCAACCTAAGCTCTTCCAAGACCAAAGGCAGTACTTGCCAGGTCTTGCACTGAATTCCAATGAATTCTACTCCCCTTCTGTTGACCCTTACCCAAGAGAAGCCTCCCTTGCATCCAAGTAGGATTCGATATTACAAGGCAAGGAGTTATTAACAACATCTCTAGACTCTGTATAAGGCAAAAATGATCGTCGATCGTACATGGAAGGTCTCCATCATACACATCAATTTTCATCTTAAAATATTCTTGTTCCCTCAGAAAACCGAGGAGGAAACATCGAAACTGCAAGAGGAATACATAGTGAGCGACATTGATCCCGAGAGCATCACCTTCATAGACTGCAACGAAGAAACGAACGGTTCGGGGACCGGTTCTTTCAACGCCTCCCTGAGCGAGGACGCCGAGGAATCGTCGTCGTCGAGTTTGAAAGCAATGGAGCTTTACAACGGTTCCTTGCAGGACCATTATAACAGTCCGATCGTTGATTTGGACGAGTCTGGGCAAACTAAAGTTGAAACCACGACGGATGAACGGAAGAGAACGAAAGAGGAGTTTGCTAAATTTGCTGAGAGCATCGCTGTGCAGTTAGCAGAGATCCCAGACTCTTATTCGAGATCCGTGGCAAAGCTAAGGATCAATCAGATCCTTTTCGAGGCTGAAATCGGTATTTACGCGCAAACACGTCGCTAACAAGCGCGACAAGGGACGCTCTGACTTTAATCAATGATTAGTCCCTGCAGAGGCAGCTTTGATGCTCGATCATGATGGAATGTTCTGACGGAGACACGGTGAAACGTGCTCGTAGGAAGGGAAACAGTGTACTTCAGAGCTCAAGGTTCTATCGTGATTATTAAAAGCTGATTTATAATATTCGTTTAGAAATGGGACAGTTTCTTGTAATGGTCCTTGCAATTTAGAATAGTATGATTAAGATAGATGTAACATTTGAATTATTGGAATTGAATTTGAAATTTAATTATAAAGGTAAATGTATTTTCATTCGTATAGTCGTTGCCAGTTGATTAGAATGTTTTCCTATTTCCTTCAAAGCTGATTGTCATATCATGCGTGCATAGTTTATTTGAACTAATACATATATGAACGAATCTGTTACATTTCATGAACGATTGTATTTATAGAAGAATATTTGAATAGAACCATTACGGAAACGCTACTTGTCTAAACGAATAATATAAATTGACCTTAACTGGTTTGCTTCCAGCGCTCATTTAAAAAGTCGTGTAGGTATGCGAGGTAACGAATGTGTTAATGATTTGTAATGAGAAATTTTGAGATGCATATTGGATTGAGAAAATGATTTGTATAGAGAGACACAAGAATGTCAGGTTCGAAATGTAATTAGCGGAGAAGCTGTTTATTGTACCGCTCATTACGAAGATTCCAATGAAGTAAGAAACGTATTTAGAAAACTGTTTACACGTAATGTTATATTTTTTCGATAATTGTACAAGGTTGAGTTTTTCCCTGGGAGATAATCACTCAAGGCCCCAGGAATAAAATTCATTATTTCCATAAGTAAAGATGGACTATTGTTAAGAGTAAAGGGCGCAGAAGAGGGCGAAATTGCGAGAAATCAAAAGTAATATTAAATTCTTTTTTTAAGAATGTTCTGCTTGTAAACAAAGCTTATAGCGTATTTTATAAATACAATGAAATTGTATTTTATCGTTTGCACGAGATAAAACGAAAACGTCTTATGTTGCGAAGTTTAGAATGAAAAAGAAAAAATGAAATCGCGTTACGTTTAAATTCGCAAATGCCTTGCCTTTTGCAATGCGCGTGTAATATTTCTGAACTTCGATTCATGAGAAAGACTGTATTTTAAAGGACACTGTTTTTTGATCTGGTTTGTCTGGCACGATAACACCAATCGAATATTTTTTTAAGTGGACTTTCGTCGATCTTTACGTACAATCGTCGAATGAAATGTTACTCATATTCGGTAGTAATAGCGGATATGTGATTTTAGATGTAAAAAGTAAGCGAAATGTCGATGTCGTTTGAGTCAGATTGAATCAAACATTCGTACTGTGTAATTTTAATACGTTTGAGGAACCATTATACATTCTCAGTGTTTTATAAAAAATTATTTAATACAGTAGAAGGATACATGGTACTGAATTTCAAAGAAATAACCACAATTACATATTCATTTAATTATTACTGAATTTTATATACCAAATTGTATTCATAAAATTAATTTACTCGTCATTTATCGCTGATACAATCTGCCTCTCAAATGACATACCATTAGACGATAAGCAGTTTATTGGTATTGTTTCAGGGCTTTAAACAGTAGGCGTAGTAAGCTGTATAGATAGCGAACTATTTTTTATCGAGAAAAGATCCCTCCGTAAAATCGAAGATAAGTCGTTTTAAATCGTTAAACTTTCGTTTAAAAGAAATTTACATCGTATCTCATATCAATAGACATCAGGTTTTCCATTAGTAGTTAGATAGCGATGTACACAAGAATCAATCAGTCTCCGGTGTAAGTCTTTATAATGTATTCATTGTTCCTAATTAAGGCGCATACCTTAATTATTCTATTCTTTTGAAAGTACACAAGTGCTTCCATTTTTGTTGAAAGAAATAACAAGTGTATTATTTCTTTTCGTTTAGAATCTTATCAGTATTTTTAATATCTAATGATAAATAGGATACAAAATTGAAAGATTCAATGCGCGTTACTAAGTTGTTGATTTTCTTTGACTCGTTATAGTCTGTTCCTGTTCCTTAAGTGATTCTCAGCATCATAGACAATGATGTACTGTAATGTTGAAAGTTGAACGTTAATACAATCGCAGTATAACTGTTATAAAATTGATGATTGAATTATACTAAAATAATAATAAAATAAATGCAATGGAAATATATAAGATTGCTGGATATTCAATTGGAACAAAAGCAACATTTAAACTTAGAAAAATTTAGAAATACCAGATGAATAGTGATTGGAAGATTTAAATGCTAAGAATTTTCAAACATTTTTAAATTGATTATCCTTGCAACAACTGCAATTATACTATTTTACATTCCCAATCTTTGTGAAATATTGAAACTATGGTCAGTCGTAAATTTCATAGAAATATAATCGTAATTCTATGGAAAAAGTAATCGACGAAAGCGTGGATTAAAATATTGTAAAAAAAATTGGTTATACGGGTTAATATGCCGGAGTTAAACTGCGATCACTGCCTTGATATCCCTCGTAAGAATGTCTCTTCCCTTAGATAGCGATTAAAACATTAATCCTAGTGTATCTATAAGTATAATTAAGTTTACTAGTGTAAAGATTCGTTGTAAAATTTATAGCGTTAAGATAATCTCAAGTAAGGTAAAGAGAAATCAAGGTGGTTGTTGAACAAATTAATGTTACCGTGTACCTATGGTTTACTTCTGATGAATTTTATAAAAATTTAATACTGAACAAGTAATTCTGTTAGTTTTGTATCTGTCATGTTAAAATGAATTCTTAATAAGAGTTGAGATGATGATTGCAAAAATTAAGAGTTAAGTTGGACTCAAAAATAAAACAACTTCATGAAAGTTGTATATACATACACAGCTGCAAAAAAGAACAATTTTTTCTTATCACAGTACGTTCTCAATTCTTTTTTGTAATATTTTACAACGTGCTATATGCGTTTGACTTTGTATACTTCTGTTCAATAAAATAACTAGGAATAAGTGTTCTTTGGGATGCAATTTCTTCTTTTTGTCATGGTACTAATATAAATGTAACTTTTGTTAGCATCTGAAAAATACTTTATATTTATTTTACTAATTTAAAATGAAGCAAAAAATTCTACAAGCTTGAAAATCATTTTAACGAATTAATTGTTTAAATTACTGATTATTAAAATTTAATTTCAGGTGAGAGAATGGACGTAATCGTGGAAACAAATCAACCCTCTGGCAAGTACTTGATCGATATAAAGGGCCTTCAAGAATGTCAAAACCTTCGTCAGGAAGCTTTTATCCTTTATAACGACGTACAACCAGATTCCGCAATAATAAAGGACGAAGAACTATCGAAAATCGATGACCATGCAATAGCGAACAAGGGCTACGATTGTCATGAGATATCAAAGAATTTCATATGTGCGTTGGATTTGAAAGGATCAAAGGGAACATCGAACGAGATTTATGCTGATCAAGTTATTTATATTCCATTCGACGTAAACGTTTTCCCATTTTTCACTGATGAACTGTCTGACAACAGATATAATGTATATGGATGCGCTTTTTATCCTTCTTATCTAAGTAAGAGTATAAGAATTATTATTAGCGTTTATTTAAAATTCTTTCATCCCTTTGATGAATTTTAATTTCTTAACAATTCAATTCAATAATTTTCTTCTAGAAATTTTTCATTAAGTTATATTAATCGTATTCTAATTTCAGGTATGAATAAAAATGGGATAAAAATTATGCAAATTAATGGAATAACGTTCAAGTATCCTACATCTCCATTATTATCACAACCAGAGAATATACAAGAAGAATCAATTTGTTCTCTTGAGAAGCCTTCAAAACAGTGTGCTTATACTCCACTGTTCTGTGAATGTACTCAGATCATTGAAGTTCCAGCCAGAAAATACATCGACATTATCTTGATAGATGAAGGTAAATCATTAAATAACAAGTTGTTTTTCTTACGTTTAAAATGATTTTTAATTTTAAAGGTTTTGGTGGAAACGTTTCTCACACGTTTCATATGCATGGCTATAATGCCAGTATCCTAGGAAGAGGTACTTTCGAAAGACCAATTAGTAAGGATGAAATTGTATTTTTGGATCGTAACAGACAATTGCATCGTAATATCGTAAATCCTCCTAAAAAAGACAGCTTCGTTGTGCCAAATAAGGGCTACGTTATTCTTCGCCTGTTTACTAATAATTTAGGTAAGTACTTCTAATTTTATTTGCGTATAAGAAAACTCTATATTCAAGCAGAAGAAACGTTACAGTTGAACAGTGATTAGGTAAATGAATTGAGAAACAATTAAGTCTGAATATATAAGTACTTAAATTAAGCGATAAAGAAAATTAATGATGAATGAAAGTTCAATTCAAATACAGAGTATTAACACAATTGTTATTCTTCTTTTAAAAATTTAGAACTATATTGTTACTGAAATTTATTTATTATTGACAGGATACTGGTTGTGGGAAGCGAGAAGTACAGCAATTTCTCCAAAAATGTCTGGACCCGGTATGCAATTTCTATTAAAAGTAGGAAATCGCGAAAGTTTTGTACCAATTCCCTTGGATTTCCCTACCTGTGGAAATAATAAACCTCCGGACTTGGTGTTCGAAATTAACTGATTCATTACTACACTAAATATAATTTATTGTATTATTTTGTATTTATTTTATATTTCTTCCTAGTACGATAAATTATATTCTCCTAGAGAAATGATTTAGCACCGTTTTATAAATAAAAGGGAACAACATAAAACTAATACTTGAAGTAACGAGGAGAAGACTTGTTTATTATTCAACATAACATAGAATACAGTAATTGTTTATTAAAATTGTGGATATCGGAAGCCGTAAAATTCGTTCAGAGTGTGCAATGGTGGTTTCCAATTATTACATTCTGGGAAATCAGGTGGAACTGGTGGAAGATCTTCTAAATCGCCTACATGGATAACCAATTCCATTCCAGTGAGATGATGCCAAGTGAAGTGGCAATGAAGTAGCCAATAACCTATATCAGAATAACGTAAAGTATTTCAATTAACAATAATTAATAAGGTTAAATTTCTGATAAACAGAGGCTATATAAATTTAAGAACAACTAATTATTTGTAGGGTAATCTGTACCTGGATTATTTGCTTTAAAGCGTAAAATCACATATCCGCCCGTTGGGATCTTAACAGTATCTTTGCCAGGTGGATTTGTGTATTCTCCTCGTTGAAGACGTTCCGTGTGCTGATCAATTATTTGGTCTATATCTGCTTTTGATATATTTCTCATGTCAGCAAATTGACCTATGCTAAATACTCTGAATTCGTAACCGTGCAAATGGAATGGATGATGAAGATCAGTCAGTGGCACTGAAATATTATTCAATGTTTAATATACTGAACAAGGTACTACGAAAACATAGAAAAAAACACTTACCTTCATCGTAAATTATAAGTTCAATAACATTGTTTAATTTTGAATGAATAACTTGAGTGCATGTACAAGGTTGAGTGCAAGTACTGAGTTGATTATGTTTGCACACGGTTTGATAACTACTGCGGGGTTGTGAGAGTAAAGGCGAAGACGATACTTCGTATTCGATATCGTTGAACATAGAAGCAAGCTGAGATTTATCATTAGCAGCTGAAAAAAATAAGTTTCACATAAATAATTGTATTTTAGTTAATGCTGTTTAGAGTAGTAGTGTGCTAGCAAGATATTCTTCTGGCTGTTACAAGCTAACTAGAAAACACGAAAATAGAAGAAATATCCCAGAACAGTATGACAAGCAACACTGAGAATTCTCTTTTCTGAGGAAAAAACAACCGTACCGAAAAAGGTGCGGTATGTATCTGCTTTAAACAGCATGTTATTTCCATACTGAGTATAATTGAAGAACCAAAAGTTTAGTACATGTCGCTCATCTGGTACTACTTTAAGAAGCTCTGACTCGGCTTCTAAACTTTCCAACTGATTGACACAAAGTGTAGTTGTTGTATCTTTTGTATTACACTTTGTTCCATCTAAAGAATTGTATACCTGAAAGTGTATCAATTTGTATATTACTACGTATTATTTTCTACTTGCCTTAACTGAAATACAAACGTTAATTTATATTAAGTTAATGTGTACTTACAACACCAGATGGTACAGTATTGTAAGTCGGAGGTGTTGACGATGGTTTCGAAGGACCACCTGCATACTGTAAGATAGCTAATTGCTGTACACTCTTTTCTGCACATTCCCCAAGACCACGTACTTGGATCCAATAAGAGTTCAATCTTCTATTTGCATTTAAAATGAAATCTACCCGTTCACCTGCATATACAAAATAATACATAAAAGAATGTTAGTGGGGTACAGAAATTAGGTATTTCAAATTGATATATAGAAAGACTTTAAATTAACCTGCAGATGATATTATGCTATTCACTGTTTTAGGTTTTACGTTTGCACCATCCTGTGCAATTATAAGCATATCATGGCCCTCGATTGTGAGTTCTGCTAAACATACTGTAGTGAAGGAATTAATCATACGCATTCGATGGCGTTTTCCTTTTTCCACTGTAAATACTGCCAGTTTTCCATTAGTAGTCTGTTTGGTAATTGGATCCTAAGAATATTTTATATTTTATTTAGTAAATTCTATTATCTCAATTATTATCTAGGTAATATTTAAAAATACAGTATATTGTATTAGGTAGCTGTATCAGTTCTGTTAGTTATTTTGTTTCTTTGCACCTCCAATATGTTGAGCTATTGTGAACAGAACTTCTACAGCAACAAATAATTCGATAAATAGATATGCTATAAATTTACATATTTTATAAATGAATTACTGTATTTCTTACCGTCCAATTACCCAAACCATTTATTAATATGTTTTCCGCACTCTGCCCCAAATTTTGTCTGTAAAAACCAGGGAAACGTTCCATGGACAATGCATGCATCCAATCCATTAAGAATATTATGTTTTCGTCGGTATCGTATAGATCGGCGAAAGGTTCGTTGCATGGCGGAGGTCTTATAATAAGAGGTCCAACTTGTCCGTCTAGCATGTGGGTTGATATGTGAGAATGATAGAAGTGTGTCCCTGCATTTTGCGCCACGAAATCATATCTGCGATAATTGAAAAATTAAAAAAAATATATTCAAAAGAAATAGTTGATTATAATAATAATATTTACAACTTTCTTCTAATATTTAAAAACTATCTCTTCCCTTCTAAAAGTCAATGGAAGTAATTAAAAAAATAAAGACTTTTATATTTATATACTGATCTAAATATTTTATAATTATAACATTGTATAAATTTAATATTGGGATTCCATAACTGGAGACATAAAAATAAATTTTATAATTCATCTCAATGCTTCTTTTAGATTAACCCTTAATGCCCTCGGTAACTTCGAAATTATATATTAAATTTCTGTTTTAAATTCAAAATTTCCTACCCCATATAAAGCATATTATAGAGTAATATTATACAGAAAAGATACCGGCCTCTATTTGTATTCCGCGCGCGGAAAAAATTGGAACAGCGCCATCTAGCGGATGGGATTCAAACTAACTATTTCTAATAGGATAGCAGGAAGTATAAGGAGGTATGCCAAGAGGTATACCACGCACACGTTGAGAAAAATCATTAATAACTCATTTTCTAGACACAATTTATGAACTTTTATAATTTATTCTTAAACTACATGCTTGTAGCTACTTTCACATATAAGTTTCGTAAAAATCTTGTTAGTAATAAATTAATTATGAGCAGTTAAAGGGACGGCGGCTCGAACCTACAGGAACGCTTACTCCAAAAATTGCTAATAACTAATTATTCTGACGCAAATTGTTGGAAAAAGCTAACGTAGAACATAGTTATAATATCATACTTCATTCTTCAATCAATAAAGTATACAAATTAATTATGGAAAATGAGAAAATGAATAAAGATCCCTACCATACGTTGCTTTAGATCGTGTGATTGCCTTTGAAATGCTAATAAATAATTAATTACGGACAAAATGCTTACAAAACATATATTAGAAAATAGCTACTGTACTACACTTTATTCTTTAACCATTAAAGTACAGAAATTAATCACCGGAAACGAGAAAACTCAAAAATGCCGACATGTAGCATTTATCGACCGAGCGTCAGACCTTAAAATCGTTATAATTAATTAATTACTGATAAAATGTTCACAAAACCTATACTAGAAAATACCTAATACGTTGAAGTTTATTCTTTAGTCGTTAATCTATAGAAATGAAACATGAGGAACGAGAAAATAATGAAAAACCTCGACCTCGTGCCGGTTTGTGTAACGCGGTCGATGTAAAATTGTTTATAATTAATTAACTACTAACAGGAGGCTCATAAAACCTATACTAGAAGAAAGCTAAGATGTTGTTCCTTATTCTTTAATCGTTAAAGTACGGAAATTGATCACAGAAAAGCAGAGAATTACGAAAGTTCCCTAGCTCCGGTAAGCGCGGAACGAGCGGTCGATCTTAAAATTATCATACTTAACTTATTACTGGCTGGATCATAATAAAACTTATATGTGAAAGTTGCTACGGGTATGTACTTTAAGAATAAATTATAAAAGTTCATAAATTGTTTGCAGGAAATGAATAATTAACGATTCTTCCCCGCGTGTGCATTGTTCACCTCCTAGCATACCTCCTTATACTTCCTGCTCTCCTATTAGAAATAGTTAGTTCGGATCCCATCCGCTAGATGGCGCTGCTCAAAAATAATTCCGCGGGAAGCCTCTTGAAGTATAAACCGACAGTTTTATGCGCTATATGGCGGGGATCGGACGTTTATCAAATTTAAATATCCTTTATATTATTTTGAATTACAATTGAAATACTCTATAATGTCAATTTTAATAATTTCAAAAGTGCTTTATAACTCTATACACCGAAGAGATCAACGTGCATTATTAATTAATTTCTCTTTTTCTTTTCTCTTAGGATAAAGTCAGTTATATGTAAAACACGAAATAAAATGTTATTTACCTAAACGTTGTTGAAGACGGAATTGGACATTGAGTAACAAAAGGAACACCGTCATAATATTGATATCCGTTTTGGTAGAGTCCGTGCCAATGCATTACAACTTCCATACCACCCGCAGCGTTTTCTATATCGACTATAATTCGATCATTTACACATACCTGCAAAATCATTATGCATAAATCCATTACAATATAAGAAACACCAGAGAAGAATGTCCAAAGTATATATTTAGAATCACAAGAAAAGATTGTGTCATTTTAATATTATATTATTATTGTTACAGCATGCAAGTGTTTACCTGAATTGGAGGTCCTGGTAATTGCCGATTGATGGGTATCAACGTCTTCTCGAAACCATCAGCAATAATGCATTGGGTTTGGTTTTTTTCATCGCAAGCACTGGAAACAATTGTTGTATACCACAATTACAACGAAAATGAAATATATTTTATTTCTACACATCATTGGGTGTACAAATTAAATATTTAATCAAAGAAGTTATAATACGTACGCTCCTAATGTCGTGTAGAATTCAATGTGGAATTTGTAGTAACAATTTTTTCGTTCTTCATTATCTTTGCAATTTCGAGCGCATTCCTCGGGCGATGAAAGGACTATATCCTCACGTGGACCCCAAAATTCTCGATCTAAATATACATGAATTACATCAAGAAATGAATGGTAATGAGCAATTGAAAATATGATAAATTTTGAAAAAGTTTTCTTTCTATAATTGAATGATTGTAAAAGAGCTGTTTTAGAATACCGTTTCATTTTGACTAAATTATTAACTAAAGCGAGCTATGAATAAACGTTAATTCGTATAATTTCTTCAAAATGATAAGAAGCTGTAAGTATTACTAAAGTTTATTACTTTGTTTTTAACTTTGCTGCATATTTAATAGGCAATTTTCATTTCTAGCTCCTACACTATTTGTGCTTCAATAATTTCGGTATAACTGAGGTCATTTATGCAGTGTGTTCGGTGAGAAATATCCGATATATTTCTTATTTCAAACGCTAAAAAATTGTCCCTCTCTCCCCTGATTCAACCAATCGAAAATTTTTTTTCATTCACCGATATTTTTTATTCCTACATTCTCTATGGATTATGGTAATAAAAGTGAGTACTCCACGTGCGGTGAACTCGCGCGTAATGGAGAAGTGCGGTACAGGTGCAGAGGATGTGATTTTTAAGCACATGCATTATGCAGTAGAACAGATTCTGCTGAAGACTGCATATGTTGATGGCTGATTCTACATTTTTTTTTTTAAATACTAAATCTAAAATACACCTTATTACTTTCTTTATGCTAATATTATTAATATGTTGCAGGAAATAGGGATTCAGAGGAACTGTAGAAGAAAATGATAATTTTTATAAAAAATAGATTTACTTTAATATATACTTACGGCAATACGATAACTCCGTATGAACCAACAAAACTAAAAACAAAATGTAAACTCTGAAGTATTGAGAAGTGGCGGGAAATCGAAAGCACATTATTCTTCTCATTATTCCTAGTCTTGAACGAATTTTAGACAAGTTCGTTCATTTATATTCCTCCTCGAAAAACTACTACAATTTTCTGGCATTAATGGCCTGAATTTATAGAAAAACATGGACAGACAACAGTCTAAATATGAATATTATCAGTTTACATTTCCGTGTATTAAGTATGCTTATAATTATGTAGTGAAACTTATCGTTTGAAAGCTTTTCCGACAGTGCTTTTTTCTAATATTAGGCGATCTCAAGGACTTTTTGATAGATGAATATTAAGTAGTTATGTTAATTACAGTTAATTTACACACGGAACACGATTTTTACCTCGAAGGAAAGTACATTTGGTAACAATCATCAAGTTCAGACAATATTATATACTGTCCAAACTTTTTTAACAATTCTAATTTACGAATCACCATTTTTATCTTTTTTCTAGTCATTGTCAAGGTTGCCCTTAAAATGTTATCTAATGCCAAAAATGCTGTAGATATAATATCAGTATATACTTCCTTTCTTTTCATTAAAGGTCTAATTCAATATTAACTTAGCCACAGTCAATGTAACTTTAGACAAAGTATTAAAATATTAATTAATTTAGATTTTATATTGAGAAGCTACGTTTCAAGAAAATTTGAATTACACCAACTTTCCCATCATACAAGAAATTTGAATTTCTTCTTCTTTAATTGAAACTGTAAAACTGTATGAAAACCACTTGTTCATTTTTTTTAATTAAACTTAAACAGTTTTTAAATGAGCTATTATCAGTTGTAGTGAAATTTGTTTTTAACATGCAGTGTCATTATTAGACTACGAATATTTATGCAAATATACATTTTCACAATGTACTTAGATTCTTCTAATCAAGCGCTGGTTAGAACTACTTTTTATGTGTACATTTTTACATATTTTGAATCTTCTGAATATTTTATTCTCTTACAAGAAACTACATAATTATCCACAATCGACACAATAGTTACATATCATGAAGGAGAGGACAATAATCATAAAACTTTATAATATTCAAAATAAAATAATAGACTTTAGCCTTTGTACTTCAAATGATTTATTTTCATCATAGTTCTTGACATGATCGACATGATCGATCTTTTAGCGATGCTTATACTTGATTAATACCGTCGTTTTTTCATAATAATTGTGCTGATTATTACATCTTTACAAATCTTTCATAGTTCAGGAAGTATTTCTTGTGCATTAATGAAGTCCGAGCTTAAATGACATAACACAAATTTTGCATTCTAAATTCGAAATTATTGAAAGTACATATCTATCGAGTAATTAAGATAACTTGATTGACACATACTATTACAATGGCACCAGGAAAAAGTAACTTTCCTCTTTCTATTTTGTTATTGAAAACAGAACACAAATTTTAAAACTACTTTCTTTTTAAGCTTAATCTGTTTATTTTTAATTTGTATTAAAATTCTCGATTATATCGCAACATGTTTAAAATCATTGGTTTCATGAGGTTCATCAAATGACTGATCGGTTTTCTTCATAGTTCACTTGTATAATTGATGTTCCATAGCAGTTGTACATACGTTGAGATATTCACGTTCTTCTAATTTGTTACACATAATCAAATATAAATTATTCATAGAACAAAATGTACTTTGGATAATTCATATACTGGATTGTAAATGCGAAGACTGACACATCTTAATGAATATAAATAAATTTGTGGCAGCAGTATTTTGTACAAAAATACGATTGTATTTCTCTTTAAATCAAATTCTTTGATATACTCAGACGTATATCAGTAGATTTGCAATGTTCATATTCGTTTAAATAAATATCCTAAAAGGACGATTGAACGCAAAATATGCGTTACTAGTATTTTCATATATTGTAAGAAATCCATTCCCGGCTTTAAAACATATAAAGATTTACAAAAACTTCTTAACAGTATTTTTATATAAGCTGCTAATCGACTTATTGATGAGATCACGTCTCACTCCTCCAGGAAGAAATATTGTCCAGCTCTCTTTTGTTCCAAGTCCTATTCAGCGATATAGTAAACACGTTAAAAAATATTCTGAATCGTTTATTAAATTATATTATAAATATTATAAATATCACGTACCTTTACAGATTGGGCCTTATTAATCCTTGGTCGGAAATTATTTGGATCTCTTCTGAAAGTGATACCTAAGAGTTCTAAGAATCTGTTCATTCCATTCAATAAAGATTGTGGACTATGAGCAGTGGTTGACAGAGATGGAGTACCAGAAAAAACAATTACACGGTCAGCTAAATAAGTAGCCATAATAAAGTCGTGCTCTACCACAAATCCTGTTTTCTTTGCATGTAGAATAAACCTGTAATAATAACATAAATCTTAATAATCTCTTGAATATGATCCAATGTGATTTGCTGTGCGGATGAAAACAGTTTAATTACCGTTTAATTACTTTAGCTGCCACTAAACGTTGCTCGGAGTCCAGATAAGCAGAAGGTTCATCAATTAAATAAACGTCGGCTGGTTTTCCAAGGCATAAAGCTAAAGCCACCCGCTGTAATTCCCCTCCAGAAAGATTCTGTACTTCTTGGTCCATAATATCGTCTATCTTTAGCGGCTTCATAACGTCAGTTACGAATTGAGGATGAACATAAGCATCCCTTATCTTTTCATGCAATAATTGCCGTACAACACCTTGGGATTTAGGGCTAATTTTTTGTGGTTTGTAACTAATGTGGAGCTGAGGAATATTTCCTGTAAACAGTAAAATTAAGTTGATAATTCTAATGTGTATTTTGAAATTTGTGAAGGATAAAGATAATGAACTTGCCTGAACCGTCATCGGGCGGCAAATTACCAGCCAACATTCTGATAAAGGTGGTTTTTCCCGTTCCATTTTCCCCAAGTAACACAAGAATTTCCGAATCAGTAAATTGACCTTTCTCGACGCGTAATTGAAAGGAACCCATTGTCTTTACCATTGCGGGATACTCGTAGTGGTTCATACGTTTAACTTCCTCTTCAGTCGCGCTTTCAGCTACTTTAAATACAAGGGATTCTTCGCGGAATCTCAAGTTTTCCGTTGGCACAAAACCATCGAGGAAAATATTTATACCTTCCCTTACAGAGAAGGGCATAGTAACGACACCGTAAGCTCCAGGAACACCGTAAAGACAACAAATGAAATCAGACAAGTAGTCTAACACTGATAAATCATGTTCCACTACTATAATAAACCTGGTAATTTTAATGTATCATTAATTATGTAAACAAACAAGTTTTATTTTGTTATATCGAAATTACTTACTTGTCAGGATGAATAAGAGATCGAATGGTCAAAGCTGCGTTAAGACGTTGTTTTACATCTAAATACGAAGATGGTTCATCAAACATAAAAATATCTCCATTTTGAATGCATACCATAGCACAAGCAAAACGTTGAAGTTCTCCACCAGAAAGTGCGTCAATACCTCTGTCACGTATGTGCATCAAATCTATAAATAATTAAATTTATCATTTTTATATTACTTCTTACTTCTCAGGAATATTTAATAATAGCTTACCCAACATTTTACAGATTTCTATCTGATTCTTGCATTCATCCTTCTTGTCTAGAAGTTGTTGCACAGTGCCTTTTACAGCCTTAGGAATTTGATCTACATACTGAGGTTTGATAAGTGCTTTCAAATCATCTTCTAATATTTTGGTAAAATAGTTTTGCAACTCACTACCCCTAAAATGACTTAAAATTTCTGTCCAGTCTGGAGGATCCTATATGATTAAACGGACTCCATAAGAATCATAGAAAAATACATTATAGTATACAAAGAACAAGTAACTATACATACAGTAAATCTGCCTAAATTAGGCTTCTGCTTGCCTGCCAGAATTTTAAGAGCAGTTGATTTACCAATTCCATTAGTTCCAACTAGACCTAATACTTCTCCAGGACGTGGAATAGGTAATCTATGTAGTTTAAATGAATTTTTTGAATAACGATGCGTAGTTTCTTTTTCTAAGTTGCTAGGAAGATTGATAATAGATATTGCCTCAAATGGACATTTCTGAAAATAAAAGAATAACATTACTATACGTGTATTTAACCACTATGAATTCCTTAACATTTTATTTGCAAAATTTTTAATTATACCTTAACACAAATACCACACCCAATACATAATTCTTCAGAAATTGATGCTATTTTACTATTTGGAGTGACTTCTATACAAAGTTTACCCATCCTTACTACTGGACAAGACCTTTTGCATTCTTGTCTACATCTTTTTGGTTTACATTTATCAGAATTAACAATAGCTATACGGGTCAACCGATCCGTTTCTTCCATTGACTTTTTTGGCGGCATGATGGTAAAATATTTACCTGCCTGAAAATTATATATAAAATAGGGTTTAATTTGATAAGAGACTTTTATAATTTACTTTAATACTAAGTGATTGCTGCATGTTATTATAATTATATTCAATACTGCATTCAAAATCATTAAACATAGGAAATAACTTGTTAATATATGAGTTTATTTTTTAAATTAAGAATATTATCAAGTAATTAACAGATACTAAAAAGAATTCAACATATGTTCTACTTGCACCCTGCTAAATACAATAGTCATTTCTCTAATTAGGATATAAAATAAAAAATAATCAATCAACGCTAAACATTTTACGTAAAAATTTCTTTATATTTGTATTTAATTAAAATACAACTGTTATTACAATTCTTAATTTCACCACGAGCTTGTAACCTCATGCAATCAATGATAAAACATGCTAATATAGGAATATTGCTAATAGAATCATATAAATTGTAAAATTAATTATTTAAAATATATTATGCCAATAATTCATAATATTTAATAAGCACGTATACAAATATATACCTGTCAAAATCAAAAAACGTGAAGGAAACCCCTTTACAACCTTTTCGAAGGAGTTTCCACACTTCCACACCACCGCATGCCCTGACTTAAGTCATAGATTACAGGCAGATGGAGCAGCTACTCAATCTCAAATGTAGTGTTGTTTAAATTACAAAAAAACTAAAAATTATAACATTTATGTTATTAGTTTTCATATATTTTGTAACTAATTACCAATAATCTATACAATCATACAGTTTATACATGATTTGCAAAATAATATTTTTGTGCTCTGAAAGATGACATTAGATTACTGTTCATAAAGTTCATTATATTTGTATTGTAAAACTTTCTTTTACATTTTCATTAATATAGACAAAGGCTGTTGTTTATACTAAAGAAAAAGATTATAAGAAAATTGCATTATAAGTTTGATCGGGTGTTTCCAAAAATCGTTTATATCACGCCACCTAGCTCGATATTCTGCACCTCTCATGAAACATTATAAAGATTCATTCTGAAGTTTTGTGTATAGAATAATAGGAATTACTTATATATCTTCTGATTTTGTAGTGAGTACTACTTTAAAATGATGTTTATTTCATTTACCAGAGATTTTAATCCTTTAACTACTCAAGCAATACTTCATCTTTGTACATGAACAAATATTACTTTGGTCACATTTAGTTTTAAAACAAGTGTCAGGTGACAGTTCCTGATGCTTCTTTTATTTATACAATTCAGTACATTAATGAAACATCAGAAATTAATATATTATAACATACTGTGTTAATTATAATTACTGCTTAAACCCAACATTTTTTATTTATGTATAACAATTTTTACAAACTACAGTGTTATAAAAAAAAATGGCGATTTCACGTAAACATTTTTCTCTTTTATATAAATTAATTTGTATTTTTTATGAAATTTAATGTTATTGTAGTTATTAAGTATTTTTATATAATTATTATAACCATGCATTCAGTACAGCATTTTTTGTAATACAAATTTCAGTCATTGTTAATTAGATTTTACAGATCATAATCTTTTGTATAATGGATCTCAGTTTTCAATGAATATGTTAAATATCATAACACTCTTTTTTTTATTTAATATAGCTGTCACATTAAGTGGAATGGAGCGAAGTATTCATGAAATGTTGAAAGATGCCCCATCTTTAAATGATAGTGATAGTGCAGTCCATAGTGGAACTCCACCACCTCATGTACCAAACAATTGTACTAGTGATAGTCAACCTAGACCAGCTACAATTAATTTAACTTTGGGTAGTCCTACTTCACAAGTGTGTAAGTGAAATGAATATAATTGAAATATATTGTAACAAGCATTTTATGAAACACTTGTTCTAAAATTATAAACGTGTCTTTATACTTGTGGCAGCTGTAACAGTATCTCCAAATACTCCTATTCAAAATGGTGATACGCAAACAATGCGTACTGCTCAAAGCAAAATTGAAAGCATCAAAAATTGGAGTATCTCTACTTACAAGTGTACAAGACAATTAATGTATGAGAAACTTGGGAAAACATCTCGTACAGTAGATTCAGGTAAGTTACAAATATATTTTGACTGTTAACACATTTTATAAATGTAACATTCTTTCATTTTTAGAGCTTGAAACCCAGATTGAGTTATTAAGAGACACTCAGAAAAAATATTGTAATGTTTTACGATTATCAAGAGCATTAGCTTCTCATTTTCATCATGTTGTTCAAACACAACATGCTTTAGGAGAGGCATTTTCCGAATTAGCACAGAAATCTCCGGAATTACAAGAAGAGTTTCTATACAATTCGGAAACACAAAGAAACTTGACTAAAAATGGTGAAACATTACTAGGGGCCTTAAATTTTTTCGTTTCTTCCGTAAATACACTTTGTAATAAAACTATTGAAGACACATTACTTACAGTACGACAGTATGAAACGGCAAGGTAATAAAATTTTACGATATTTGAATTGAAAAAAATTTCTTATTTATATAATAATATGTATTATTAATTTCTTTGCAGAATAGAGTATGATGCCTATAGAACAGATCTTGAAGCATTAGCACAGGCTACAAAATCTGATGGTAGCAATGCAGCAAGATTAGAAGAGGCTCAAGTTAATTATGAAGAGCATAAACAAAATTTTGAAAAACTAAGATCAGATGTTTCGATTAAACTTAAATTCTTAGATGAAAACAGAGTACGTTTTTACACGTTTATCTATTTTCTTTTAAGTATTTTTAACGTTTTTTTTTTTTCTTTACCACATTCTTGTTACAGATCAAGGTAATGCATAAACAATTATTACTGTTTCACAATGCAGTATCTGCCTATTTTTCTGGAAATCAAACAGCGCTGGAAGCTACATTGAAACAGTTTAATATAAAGGTTAAATCACCGAATTCTTCTTTACCGTCGTGGCTTGAACAGTAGTTATACTAGAAGAAATAAATCCATGTGTTGAAAGGTATGAATAAAAAGGTACATTCGTCCAAACGAATTTCTCTTTGAACAACAAAGAGAATGACAAGGTAGAATAACTTTCAGAAATTCTCCGAAATGTTACAAATCACTGCTGTTAAATAATTTATCAGTTCAAATGATTTTTGAAACGAAAGTGGATAAATAACGTAAAACCAGACTGAATTTTTTTCTAATTTATGCTTTAAATATTAGCCAGTATCTGTATGTGGTATATGCATCAACAAATCTTGATTATATGCAACTATTATTGACAGTTAAAAATATGCCATTTAAAGGATTTGGTAAAGATCTCTCTTTATTCAGTAGCAATGTTTACGAAACTTTAAAGGCAATAGGTATTTAATTTTTATATCAGGCTTCTTAGAGAAGTCCGAATGTAAATACATGAAATATGATATACTGAGCTTTGAATTTTATAGTATGTACAAAACGGTATTCATTGGTTCTTTATATTACATTTTGCACCAATTTAATAGATATATCACAGTTGCTGATAAGAGAACTACGATGAATTGAACAAATTATAAGCTTAGATATTTTTTGTACATACTTTTCATTCCATTTCACGGGTTAAATTTTGATTGAGCTTTACTTGTTCACCTTTCACGAATGAATAATTATTCGTTCTTCATTTAAACAGTTCATTGATCTGTTTAATTAAAGAAGATATAATTACATGGCACACTTTTAATACTTCCTGAAATGTACATTTTTTACATTTCTGTATCTTATTTGTAATGTTTAAACGTTGACGTCATCTTCATATATTTACTGAGTTTTACGTCAAAATTAATCGTTTTAAAAAAGTTAAAGGGAGAATGAATTCTTAAACCTCGTACTTAGTTGTGTTCTTAGATTAACTTGCTTTCCTCATGCAATTTTTTAACATGAGATTTTTTACAATTATACTTATTTAATTATGATCTAATCAAATTAATTTATTAACTTATCATTATATAAGACAATTACGTTTACATTCTTAATCATATATATTTATGATTTAATTTTTACAAGTATTTACTTTCAAGTATTTTAAAAAACAAAGTATACGTTTATTGAGCTTTTTAGAATAGAGAAGTGTGATTTTATTGAGCATAATTATTTTTAATCAAAAGTATTTTAATTTAAATGGAAAAAGATGTTTTATTATTGCAAAGCAGACAAACTTCTAGTCATATTTTTTAAGTGAAAAATTTATATTTATATCTTTTTTTTTTAAACAGCAATACATATTGTCTGTACCGAGACATCACAGATCATTACGCTTCACAAATAGAAAATTCTTAATATATACTGCAGGTCACCAGAGTCCATAACTGCGAAAAGACCAGTTTTCGTTCTTCGCGCTTCTCCAGTGCGCATCTTCGCCCTGATTGGCGATACTCCCAAACGAAGTGGAAAGCGATTAGCAGAGAGCTCGCTGCGCTCCCCCACCATCTTCCAACCTGCGCATCGCAGTTATGGACTCTGGTGAACTGCGGTATAGATAAAATAGCCATATGGCATACATTATTATTATTATTTGTTGCTTCAACCTATAGTTTATACTGAAATGGATAGCACTTTAAACTATAAAAATTAATCTATTAAAATTATATGAATATGTTTTATTATTAATATTCAAATACATTTCTTCTCATGAGATCATAAATGAATTTTTTAATGTGCATAAAATAATACATATATAACTGAACTGTATATGTATTTCATATACAATTCACTATATTTTTTAAACTTCTGAAAATTCTCATCATTGTAAATTTAAAACAATAATGATAAACACTAAGATAAAAACTATGACTCATGAAGTAGTAATGATATTTTACTTTCTGCATAATTAGCTTTACATAGTGTGCAATCTCTAAAGATCAAATTCTTTTTTATATTCTGTTAAAGTTCATAAGAAATGCATTCCATTATTTAACAAGTTTTGTTAAGAATGTTTTAGGCCAATAAAATACATTGTAATTAAATAAAAATAAAATCTTATATTTATTATTAAGTAGAAATAAGAATGAAGAATAATGTTGAATGACTTACATAACTAAAATGTGCAGTTTAAGCACTTTTTAATTTATAAAACATATTGTAGCGACTGTATTATGTTCCTAATCATGATGTTGTTGTGTGTATATTATGTGTATACAAACTCCAAATAATAAATGAATGCTTATATATCTTGCTTTTTACAGAATTTTCGTTACTTGGTGATACTTTTTTTGTATTAATGTTGGATTTTTATTTTAACATTGGGAATATAATACTGAAAAAATTAATTTATTGTTCCTTAAAATATACAATTGTTTTATGATACAGTGGTACAAACAACAATCAAAAACAATCAGCAACAGTTACATATATAATGACATACAATTTTATTTTTAAAAATATTTAAAATTATATTACACAAAAATATTATTTTCCTTAAACATGTAACAAAAGATACTATTAATTTACATAGGATTACTGTGTTGTATTTTCAACGGTCTGTTCTTGTTGCGTTTGTGTTTCTAAATCTGCTTGAGATTTTTGAAGTTCTTCCATACTTTTCCGTAAAATAGTAGGCTGTACTTCCATAAATATTTCCATTATTTTATGATTAGCATGAATATGTTTGCCTGAACAACTCTCTATACATTGATCCTATAATGAATTAAAAAAGTATATTCTAGCAAAGAGGATGATTTAAAATTCATAAATAAATAAATATCTCTATTTTCTACATTATTTCAAATATATATTGTATAAATAACCCAATAATATGTTACAAATATTATTGGTTATAAAACACACCTCTTCAGCAGAGATATCCCTTGAAAGAAGTGTACTCACACAAGTTTTGAAACATGTCTCAGATATTTGATTATACAAAAGTTGAAAATCCTTCATCTACAAAATAATTATTACATAAAAATATGCTTTTATAGTTACTTGTATTTGTAACAACACAGGTTAGGAATTAGTACTTCATTATTAAAATAAATTGATAACAATTAAATACATTTCTAATAACTGTGGCATCCATGTTTAAATAATATTCTTTAATCTTTTAATTTATGTAATTCTTATGCAAAATTATAATATTTGCCGGTTTTGTTTTCGTTGAGGTTAGTATGCCACCGTAACTTTAAATTTGTAATTATACAACTCTTCGATATCGACTTACGATATATCTTGTTTGATTTTTATAATATAATATAATATTATATAAATTAAGTAAATGAGCAAAAACGCATTATATAGGCTAAGTATAATAGCTTACACAAAAAAAAATCTTTACAATAAATAAGTAGTAAGAAGTAGATATTCGTTTTATATTATTCACTGAAAAATCGAATACAAGCATTGAATCTATAAATAATGTGAATAACTATTAATTTCATTTAGTATTATCTATCTATGTTATTTTTTTATTTTATATTAATAATCTCTATGTAATACAGTGTTAAATAATATGTATAAATGCGTACAAATTATAAAATAATGTTGTAGTAAACATTATATACACTATTACACGCAAAACAAGTTGAAAAAATGAATATATTCATATGAAAAGTTTATACAAAACGATAAATATATGTTAATTACAAAGAAACATTCGATTCTTGGTATCAAGAAGCGCGCTTACATCGGAGAAGTTCGGGAGTACTCGGCTTCGATCGGATCGAACCGTTTATGATTGGTTGTCGGTTCCGAGGCAGCGAAACGTGAATCAGTTGGCGCTGACGGAACGAAGGAGCAGGTCGATTCGATATAGTGTGAAAACGGAAAGATTTGTCGGTGCGTGTCGCCGGTGAATGAAGCGGGCTAATTATTACGTGCGATGGCCGCGTGCTACAGCGAGCAGGCATCATCCACCTCGGGAAACGTAACGAAAAAGTCACCTGCAGCCGCCGCGAAATCAGTCTGCTGGCAACACAGACTGTTCGGTAAACAACTGTCGCGGTGCAGTCAGGTTAATCAGCAAGAAACAAAACCGTGCGATGCAAGTGGTACTCTCGTTGACGAGGATGGCCAGCCAACTTGTGAGGTGATCGGTGTGTACTTTAGTTTTATTAACCCCGGTGCTACCTGCGATGACTTTACGCGTCAGCTGCTCGATCTTTACGCGAGTGTCAATTTGTCGCACGCGGAAAATGACCGAGACGCGGACAGTTCTAACAGAGAAAGAGAAAGGAAGAAAAGGTTCGAGGTCGTGCACGTGGTTCTCTGGAGTAACGTAGCCGACGTCCTCGACTTTGAAGACAGTTTTCGCACACACGTTTCGGAATTACCCTGGTTAGCAGTGCCGAACTTAGATTATGAAAGAAAGGTAGGACGCATCTCTTCTACTAGTCTTTTCCGCAACTATGCTAACATTTATAAAATTCTCTAAACTATTTATAATTTATTTCATTACATTTTTTTAAAATTTTTGTTATAATTAGTATTTAAGCCAATTCTTAGTATCTGTTACATTAACACATCATGAATATTCATTGGTACCATTTCACACTGTATTAGTCACTTCAAGTCTTCTGTGAAGTTTTGTACATTTCCCTATTTTATTTTACCGCGGTACCTCCGATCATCTCTGTCAAATAACCTTTTACATTAATCAAAATTACAACGACCATAAGAGCACTTACACATAATTACCTCCCTCCGCCTCCTTTTTCTGTTTCAAACCGATATCACCGACTCTTTATCGTTCAATCGCGCAAGCATGCATGAGCTTCAATTAAATTCAATTAAATAATTAGACTCGGTTTTTAAGTCGAATAATGGCCATTATTCACTGGTACACCCATTCAAATAATTTATGAGTTCTTGAAACTTTCAGAGGGTTCCTATTAAATATACTCATTTCAGTGGCTTTTATCGCGTATGTACTTATTTCTGGTTTCATTAGATCGTTCGTGGATTTTTCACGATATTGTGGGAAATTTACGGTCAGACGAGTTGGTATGATCAATTGAAGCGAGTATATTCGAAATTTGTATACACACGGCTGTCATAAAGTTACACATGTACATATAGACAGGGGCACACATGCCGTTATGCAGAAGGACTGTGCGCGCAGCGCCTTTTTTATTTCCAACGGGTGTTTTAACCCCTCGCCAGACGTGCTATTTAGGGTCCGATTTTATTTGCACCGACACACCAGGCAGAGCCGACTTTCTCTAACTAAAAATCGTTGGTAATATTTTCCACAACGCATCTGCTACCGCCGCACGCTCGGCGAACTTTTAGTTTAGACCAGCAGTTTTTTTTCGGTTCGGCATTCTCCCCTCCGTAGGTATATTTCATTTTCTTTTTATATTCCACTAGTAATTACTATCGAATATCATTTTTTACGGATTAAATTAAAATTCTAATCTCATAATTCAAAAGAAAGCTATTTTGACATCGGTTTCGCCGCGAAGGTTGACACCATAAATTATAAAAATCAACATAGATGGATAAAAAAAACACTGAGAATCGTATCGGAGTTAAGGACCGATTTCTATGTAGAGGGCGCAGCGATAAATTCGAATTTTTATGAAAATGTTTTTGGCGAAATTTTTGATTAATGTATGAATTAATAAATTCAATTCAAGACGATGTTATTCCTGGCAATTAAAGCGGACGGCTAGGCTGCTTCGTACATTGATCTTTTCATCACCCACGCACCCTCGATGACGCACACACATATCTCTTGTCTCAAAAGTTCGAGTGACTCCGCGTTACGTCACGGCATTTTAAACACGCATAGCAGGTATTTGCATTACCGCGCGATTTTTATACAGTTTGATGAGCGTCTATCGTATGTCGGTAGAGTAGCGAATTAAAAAAGATACGTATAGTTTCTATGTTGTACTGTAGGGTAGTAGCTCACGATCGAACGCGGTATCGATACCGCACAGCTCCTAAGATGAATATTCTCGATACTTTGTTGCGTGTATACGCATTACTGGTATATAAATGTAAGAGATGATCGGAGTTCGTTATTCTCTTACTTTTTTCCACGATCATTAGTCAGGCCACTCGAGCTGCTGGTGTCTGTGATGCATATACATATAACTCGATAGTCTGATTCGCGAGTAAATGTAACGATAAGCGTCCTGCGCAATTAGCGTCAAGTAGCTTCGTGATTCTTCCTCGCTCGTTATTCCGCCTATCTACCCGATCCACCCTGAGAATCACCCCCTTGAAATCGTAGATTCTTTGTGTACCGTTCCATTCATTTAACAATAAGAAGAGCAACTTCGGTTTATGAAACGTTATAAGGAAGGAAGCATGAAATTTCTTAGTTTATACTGAAAGTAAACGAACGAATCTAAAGCATATATGTACTTTTCTTAACATTTAACAAGTTGAAAGATTGACGTAATTAGCAGCAGTGGCGGTTGCCGATAGAAGCTATCGCGCTCTCAGCGCGCATCATTAACGCGTTAAATGCAGCGATGATAATGGACGTATGAAGCATAGCGCGCTACAATGATAATTGTTCAGCATATGGTTTCTGGTAAAGGGTTAACAGAGTACGTATAGCAACAGTAGAGGCTGTTTCCGAATGGTCCCCCCCAAAATTAAGAACTAAGGTTCGGTATATAACCTAAATTGACTGTAAGAAACTGATTAAAGTTGGTTTCAGAACTGAATGTGTTACCTAACCTAACCTAACCTTATCAGGATATCTCAAAAACGGTAAGACATCCAGCTCTGAAACCAACTTTAGTCGGTTTCTTGTAGTCAATTTCAGTTATATACCGATCCTGAGTTCTCAATTTTGGCGGGAGGCCATTCGGAAACTTATCCAGAGTAGATACGTCCAGTTTGACAAAATTGAACGTTTAGCGATATAAAGGAAGCTTGACGGTGCGGTAGGATATCCGTCGCTTGAACGATGTAATAAAGGCACGGCTGCTCATCGTTTGTACGACGTAAACCGTTTTCATAAAGGTACACGCCTTTGCCTTGAACGGGGAAACGCCGAGAAAAAGAGTGAAGCCGAGCAGCCTTTCCATTCGGGGTGGTCGACCCATATCTTCTGCAAATAGCTTTCTCATTCGACCGGCGAGATCAAGAAAGCGACGAAAGGTAGCGTAGGAAAAGAGAGAGGAAATATATATTTACGTTTGTGTATGTACACGTATCGAAAGAAGAGCGAGGGAGAGAGTGAATTAGCGCGATGCACAGGTCTCTTCCCACGAAAACGACTGAAACGAGAAAAAAAAAAAGAAAAAGAACGAGAGAAACGTTGGAATCTAGATAGACTTTGAGGTAGTTCGTGCACAGAGTGGCCCGTACGCGGCGCTATGTAATCCTCGGCTACGTCTCCTCCGCCTTTCCTCTTCGGCTCCTGTCTGCTTTTTAGCCCAGCATATCGTGCAGATTACATACGACCTACTCGGCGATGGTCAAAGGAAAAGTGAAGCACATGCGAATCGCCCGAATAAATGTATTTCACTTCGTACGACTCGAAAACCCGCGCGAAACCCTTCGAACGCTTTGACGCCAACGAAGGCCGACAGTATCGCGCGGATAAGTGGTAGAAAATTGCGCAAGAAAAAACTTTTTAATGTTCCACACCGTCTGTCGCCGTACGCTTGGATTACTTTTCATGATACGTCTTTTATCAGGGGGATTCGTTTCGTTAAATTATTTCATCTCGAGCTGTATGTGCACTTTTTTTTCTCCCTCTATCTCAGGTATCGCTAAACTCGTTGCTACGTATTTTTATCGTAGATAGCGGTGTCCATGATGCTTTCCTTTTGTGACCGGCTTGACGACAACGCGATCGTGTCTCCATTGTCGTTTCTAAACCCTACGAGATCGATCCTTAACAGAATGCAAGAACCTTCTTCCACGTTCTACAACTGTTCAACTTCGCACACAAACTTATACAGTCGTTTGCGTGTAATTGAAAGCGGTAGCTTAAGACGCTGCTGGGGTTGACCAATAGAAACAGTGGTCTCGTCAGTCTCGGTCGGACGAGATGTCGGGAGGCCGCGATATCTATATATAACAGGGGTGCGCAACTCGAAACCTTGAGAATTAAAATTAAATGAAATTCTCCATCCATTAATGATATTTAGAATTCATGCTACATTAATTATTAAGTATTTACATAAATGAACAGCATTAAGATTAGATCGGTATGGTATATTAAAACAGATATTTCCACGTATTTCCATGTTTCTTACTCGTTACAGCGCGCAAGCGATTAAATAGCCAAGGTAGTTGAATAGCTTCGACGCACGCGACCCTTAAAACATTTCCGAGCCGCTTTACCAACTAAAAGTCAGTAAATATAGAGTCCATGTACAGGGTGTTAAAAAATACCCTGAATGGATCGAGAAAAATCGAAGTGAAAAGTTCTGTAGCATTTTTCAATGGGATCAGTAGTTTAGCCACATTTCGTTGTTGAAAATTGAAAATTTCACCAATCAGTGCGCAGCTTGGGTGGCAAGACCCGCGGAGTAGGAGACAAGCCTTAGCGTCGCGCTTGCGCAATGCGCATGCGCCGAGAGCTCAAGCTGCGCGCTGATTGGTCAATTTTTCAATTTTCAACAACGAAATGTGGCTAAACTACTGATCCCATCGAAAAATGCTACAGAACTTTTCACTTCGATTTTTCTCGATCTATTCAGCGGTGTAGAGGTCTTTAGGGTATTTTCTAACACCCTGTATTTGCATATCACAAATTAAAAGCGATTTTTATAGATAAAATATAAATTGCATTTCACAAGATGAAGCGTTTGTCGATAACGAGAAAGTTTTTCCGGGAAATTTACCACGACAAAGCGTGCGTTGTGCACCTCTGTCGTTCACGAAGGAGGCGATTGAACGCGCGCGAACGAGTCAACAGTGATCTCATCCCTTCCCCTCCATCGCTCGTCTTCTACCCGATGTCACGGTACGGCAAGGGGTTTCCCCTTGCTGAAGAGGCCAAGCGGCAGTGTCTGGTGGAAAATAAGAATTCAAAAACGTCACTTTTCGAATTATCTTCCATCGTGAATTCTCTCTTAACCTCGTACCTGCATTCATATTTACCAAAGAAAATTGAACTTGAGATCCAATAAACGATCTCATCGATTTCGATACGCTTTCGATATTTATCGATCTTTCGAACGTTCGATCAGAGCAAGTTCAGAGAATAGTGATAATACAGTAGCATTTCCCGTAGCGATACAAGTTGCTCGGTGGAGAGAAAGGGAATCGACGAGGGTAAGCGGGTGATGGAGCAAGGACGTCACGGGGGAACGAGCAAGCAGGAGCGATGGAAGCGTCGTGGTAGGGGACATACAGACCACCGGGGGAAATAACGATAGCACCGTCGGCAGCAACGGCAAGGGAGGACGTACGCGTTATCGACCGCTCCAGACGGAGACGGGAAACGAACGAACGTATATACGCGGCCTGTGCGAACAAACGAGAGAGAAATGCCGTAGGAAATATACGAAGGGACGAGGTAATGCCTCCCTGTGGAGGGTCGCGATAACGTACGACGTCGCACGTTCGGTACCTAGAGGAGAGAGACCCTTCTTGCCTTATTCTGACGCTCACCCTTCCTTTGTGTGCGGCTGGAACGCGCATCGCTCGACAATTTTAACGTGTCTCGATTTCCCTCGATCACCAGGACAAAAGGGATTCGTTTGAAAGTTTTCAACGAAACGTCTTGCCGTTTAGACCCGGTGATAGTTTCAAAGAGGATCGATTTGTTGACTCGCTCTGTACATAGATAGCGACAGGTGTCTGGTACAAAGTTTTATTGAAACCTTTTCAGCCTTGACGGAGATGTCCCTTTTATCTTTGCGGTACGCTTCCACTTTATGGCAGCTAGTCGATTCTATTCGCTCATTGTCGTTTCATTTTCAAACGGATCCGTGTTATCGGTGGAAAATGAATAATATTATCTGTCGTAAGGTACCATCGCTGGGAGACTGTACAAACGAGACCGCGCTTTTAGAGGGAAAAAAGGAATTTAATATTTACGGGGTAGACGGTACTCGTTAAACTGGACAAAACATGTTTACAGGGGAAGTTGGGGAACACGGAAATTGTAAAATTTATGAAACTTTGTGTACCAACAGAGTAGTTCATCCGGAATATAAACTTTTCATTGGTGTTATAGTATGGTTTTAAGGGGTGAAATCGCTCCTTTAAAAAAAATGCTTTATTTTTTTCTCGAGAATATAGAATGGCTGAAAACGCTGTTTCAATTCTAAGTCTCATCTTCATTATCTACTCCACAGTAGAAGGCTTTCACAATGTGTCTATTGTACTTCGATCTTTTCTGCTCCTTTTTTTCCCCTAGCGATCAGACAGCTTAACAAGAATCGGTTTTCGACATTAACGATAGGTAGTCGATTGTCTTCCTAACAGAATTACTTCCTAACATGTTCTGCAAAAATCAGTGGTACGGATTTGATGATTCAGAAATTCTTCCGTTCTTTCAAAGATCTTTTAATAATTATTTTGGCTAAAAATTGTTTTAAAGGATATTTGAAAATTTGAAAAATTTGAAAAATCATTGACAAAATCTGACGAATGAGAAAATAAAAAATCATGCGGTCTGCGTTGTTTAAGAATGATTCCCTTTTCTCCGAATCAGAACATAAGCTTCACGCTTTCCTACCTTTTTCTCTTTCCACGTTTGATGTTACTGTAATCGTGCAGCCTGCTAGAAGAGACGACAGTACTTACTTATTATCGGCCGAGCTCTATTCTCGATAACTTCGCCGGTAAACCAGACATTTCCTTTCCCCTTATAGAAAAGAGAAGAAACGATCCTTAAAATATGTATTTCTCTTCGCTCAGACGTGACATCGAAAGGAGTTGATTGCTTATCCACGAAGAAAACGGAAATTTTCCCGCTGTCTGTGTCTTTTCTACTTCCGGTATATATATTCTTTCTTATCTCTTCCGGTGTGGAAAACTTTCAGCCAGTTTCTACTATCACCCTCGAAACCCTTTCTCCACCCCTTTCCTCTTGTAGCACTGTAATCATGCAGCCAGGGGCAGAAGGGATAGCACTCATTGTCAGCAGACATTACTCCCCCTCTAGACACTCGTTGCGCCCCTTTTTCGTCGTAGTTGAGCTCCGTGGGTTTGACCAGCAAAGGATAACGGAAGAAACGGAGGCCGTGCTCTACGTGTTTCGAATATCTCCTACGCTCGTTGTATTCTTCTCACGCTTCTCGAAATTGATGGGCTTTCGATCTTACTTCTTTCCTTTCTTTTTTATGGGAGCCAATACTCGACGCGAGCTGAATTCGAACCACCGACAGTAATTCCGCAAATTGTACGACAGGTATTCCAAGAAATATTATTTGTGATTAATTTTTGCTTTCGTATCTTATAATTAAAAAAAAAAAAAATAGAAATTCCATCAGTAGGGCCGGCCCTGAGCCCAGGCAGACTAGGCGGCCGCCTAGGGCCCCCCAAGGTCCAGGGCCCCCATAAAATGATTCTGCGTCTATATCGATATTAATCGATGTAAATGCAAATTTAAATTAGTTATACAAGGTTTAATGTTAATTTTATAAATTTTATTTGAGCTCTTTTTTTTATGTCATATATCTGAAGGGGCTCCCCTCGGATCCCCGAAATCTCAGGGTCGGCCCTGTCCATCAGAGCGCTTGATATAATCTATATCTTCCTTTTTTAATTTTCTACTTTGATCTCCGGTGGAAATCTCTCGGCGCTTTGATGCAAAAGCGAAGGAATATTCATGAAGTACTTCCGAGGATTGACATTGAAATAATCTTACAGAGACTTTATTTTTTATTTTCTTTTACAGACCAGACTGACTCGGAGGTACCGAATAAAGGCCGGTGTGCCGACTCTGATCTTATTGGACGGTTCCAACGGCTCGATAATAACCAGAGGAGGTGTGGAACGAACGATCGGTGATCCTGGTGGAGCTGAGTTTCCTTGGAAGCCACCCCATCCGAAGGCTGCCCTCGAAGATGGTCCCTTGTTACCATGCGGCGCTCGGGATAGTAACGAACCCATGCTGCACGAGGAGTTACGGCACTGTTTTAAGGGTGTTTACTTTAGCGCACACTGGGTATACAATTTAAGAAAATTTTTTTTTAAAGAAATTCTATGCCATATGTTATAAATAATTACATATGCTTTTTCCCGTTTAGTGTCCACCTTGTAAAGCGTTCACCCCACAACTCGTAGATACCTATCAGAGAATCCGAGAGAGGGGTCATGACTTCGAGGTGATTTTTGTGAGTTCAGATAGGTCAGTTTGATAGATTACGTTATTAATTAAAATTACAACTGGTTCCTTGATGGTATATTCAACTATAATTGAAGATTTTTTGGTAATGTTCATTAAAATGCAATTTTTTATACTTTCAGGAGCGAAGAGTCTTATAACGTTTATATTGAATCGATGCCTTGGTTGAGGATACCTTTTAGTCAGGAGGAGAGACGGAAAAAATTAGCGAGAGCTCTCGATGTACAAGCAATACCCACTTTAGTGGTACTCGATCCTCGGGATAACATTATAACGTTGGATGGACGAGCCGAATTGCTAGAAGATCCCGAAGGATTGGTAAATGAAACTGAATCTGAAAAAATTGATTTTTGTTCGTTACTCTATGGATGTTATATTTTATAGAATTTCCCATGGACCAGTCGCCTGGTGAATATTTTAACCGAGAAGTATGCCACTTCGTTGCACGATGCACCGGCGATTATACTTTTTGTTGGTAGGTTGCTACGTGTGTAATATTTTTATCTCTTTGATTGTTTTATTTTTATTTTACGCTCATTATATCTTTCAATAGAAGGTGAAGACTGCGAGATTCAATTCGCAGAAAGTGTATTAATGCCAGCTGCCCAAGCGTACAGGAAACATAGACCTGATTACGATCCAAACTATGACGATCCTGATGATGTTTTACAATTTTATATAGCATTAGATGTAAGTACCGTTTCAGGTGTAGATAGTAATATGATTATTTTGTATTTAATAGGTACATCATTGCTTTTATTTATCACAGTGTGAAACGTCCGACATTCTTCGCGAATTTGTTGGTTTAGACGATGCTGTCCCACTTTTAACAGCGATTGATATACCTCGAGGAGTTTATGTCGTGATGGAGGATGGCGCCGAAATAACTGTAGATTCAGTACAACAGTTTGTCGATGGATTTCGTAACGACAAATTACCTACGAACAAAATAGCTGCGGTACACAAAATTCCAACCAAAAATGATCAGGTTTCTACTTGAATTTTTATTCGAGGAACGATTTGATAGAAATTTATTGCAGACCATGCGAAGGAAGGAGCAGTTAGGTTTTCCATGTGGTCATTATACAACCACAAAATAAAGAAGCCCCCATCCTCTCTTCTCGATCCTATCTCTGTGATACCATTGCTCCTTTCGTAGGAAGGATCTCGCGCAATGTTGCGTTTGTATTCGCACAACCCCTTTGTGGAAATAACCAAAAGACATGTATTATAATATCATAGTCAATGAAAACTGAGCGAATTGTATTTTTAAGTGTACACACGCACATGTTAATATATTCTAATGTATTACTTAATAAACGTCAAATGAACCACGTCAAAGGTATCTTGGATTACTACAAATTTATTGACACTTTTGTTTTTCATTTTGTAAGTATATTTATATAAAAATTACATCATACATTTACAATCTAGTAATTTATTTTTTACAACGTAGTTACTTTCTTGAACGTTTGTATTAGGTTGTATTATTTTTTTCCCGCAATTTTTCGAATTAAGTAACTTTAATCAATTTTCAGGCTTTTGACATCTGTACATATATACTTTACCTATCAAAACACAAAATTACGGTAAAATAATAAAATACAAAAAACGCGAGAATTTATTACACAACCTAATATTTAACCTGATTTAATTATTTTCATTCCATGATCGGAAAGAAACGTATCATTCAACCGCATTAATTTCGCTTTATACATGTGTCTATAATACAATTAAACCTATATGTGTCGTCAGTTATAAAATAAATATGTGTGATTCACGTTAACCAAAAAGCCTACGGTATGTCGTAAAAAATAAAGGAAAATTACATTGATCTTATTCGTCGTATTATTTAAAAATTATTGTCACTATTTGTACTATTCGACCTAAAAAATAAATATCGGGAAAGGATTTCTTATATTTATACGTCATATTAATTATTAAAATTTTTACACTAGGAGAGCTGCCAGAGCATTTAAAAATTTCGGTCTTTCTTCGGTTTTCAGTCTTATTACTGGAACAGAAAATAATAATACTTATCTTCAAATAATAATTACAAAATAAAATTATAAGGTGAGATTTTAGAGAATTCTTACCTGTGGTATCAAAATAATCTGCCTCTATATACGAGTTTGTATTTTTAGCCGCTTGTTCAAAGGCTCTTCCAAATAAACTGAAAAATAAGTGTATCATAGTAATTAAATTAAATTGAAAATATTTTTCATAATTATTTGTAATAGTTACCTTTTTGGTTGGTCTTCGCATACTGGTGGTATACCCACCATGAGAGATGTACCCATTTCCTCGTTATATATCGAAGAAGCTACAAGTGGCCATTCTGGTGCTCGTCTATTTTTTGAAGAGTCCACATAAGCCTTTAAAATATACTGAGATAATATCAATAACGGATATGGATGTGTGAACATATGACTGTTAATACATCCTTCAGGGACAATTACGTAAAGAAACGAACCAGCGCTTCTAATCTGTTTCATCTGTAAAATACTTTGTGCAGCCTTGAAAATATTATTGAGCATAAATTTTGCTTTTTCTATACCACTTTCTAAAATACCCTTTTTCGTGCGTGATAAACAATCTAATGCATCTAAAAAACAACGTTGCGGTAACTTTTCTTTCGACTAAAACAATTAAAAAAAAATTAATAGTAGTATTAATACATTCATAGAAGTATATGTTAAAGATATATAAATGTCTTACAGAAGATTCCATTAAGGCTAGCATAGCATAGACTATGTCTGATGCACAGTATTTAAACCTGTAACCATACTGAAGAGTAAAACTTGTCCCGATAATAGTATCTACTTTATATTTTCCTGCTAATTTTTCAACCATTTGCCTAAATTCTTGTCTAAGCGTTAGATCCATTGCAGAAAATCGTTGCCTCGATTGTGCTAAAGGTAAACCCATTTCAGCTAGAAGTTCTTTTAGACGTTGTTCTCCTCTAATCGACCAAAGTCGTAATGATACTGCAGTTGGTATCGAATGTCTTAAACTAGCTTCTACGGTCCAATGCCGATATAATACAAGTAAGAGACTGTTTTATGCATAAGGAAATTAATATTATATTTTGATATACATAAATTTCATAAGAGAAAAAAATTACTTTTGAAAGGATACTCTTTATCATAGGTAATTCTGACTGTACTTTGTTGTTGTTGCTGTTGCTGCTGCTGCTGCTGTTGATCAACTTCAGCTCCTTGTCTACGTGTTAACCTAGAGACGTGAGCTTGAAGGGAACCCTCTTCAAGAATGCTTAATCTTGATTCTACTTTACCAAGAATAGCTTGTTCGGTAGAGCCAACTATTGCCCACCAAACCATATCCAAATTATCTTTCGACATATTCCATGCCATGTCAAAAACGAGCATTGCACTCTACAAAAATAAAAATTCAGATTTTTCAATTTCATAGTTAATAATTTATTATTGGTTTATTTGAACAGCCCATACTGATCTGCCATAATAACTATACTGTGTATAATTAAATAAAATAGTTGCTCGCTTTTCGGACCACTTTCTTCGTTCGACCCTTTTAATAATATCCTCTTCGTTTAATCTTCGCCGTTTTCTTTGAGTTTCATCTGTTTCCTCCTCGCTATCATTTTCATCAGACTAGAAAAAAGGAAATTTATCTCCAATGTTTGGTCATTTACTTAGATATTCATAAAAAACGAAAGGTATTTACAGAATCATCTCTAAAGACTTCATTATATTCTGGAATTTCTTCATCTTCATCAGCCTTTCCAAGTATACACACTTGACTTTCAGAATATATATTACATAAATCATAGGGCCTATGACTATCGAGAACATAAAATATCACAGACTCTGCAGGCTGTAGTAATTCTACTAGATCTAATGTACCACCGCAATTTATAAAAATAACATTCTTTATCTGAAAGTATAATATTATATTTAGTACTTATATCAACATAGACCCTATTGTAAAAGAATATAATTTCAATACCTCTTCGCAATGTTCTTCAAATGCATGGACCATGTCTTGAACACCCTGAACAGGTATAAGCGTATATATCATGTTATCATTTTTAAAAAGTTGCTGCAAGATTCGACAAGCACAAATAGCGTCAACATCAAAATTAACTAACAGCAGACATCTCTATAATAAAAAAAAATGTATATCAACGTTCACATTCAAATTTAATGGTTCTGAAGTTTGATATAATTTACTTCATACACATTTATCAATACGGAAAATTTTAATACAAATTCATAAGTGTTAATTGATAATATTTAACAAGTAGAAATAAAAGGCAAACTAAAAACATATTGATATTATCAATTATATTCAACTATAATATAAAATTTCAAATATATCTAATAAAATTGTTTAACCTATGCAAATGTGACAGATTAACAAATTTTTAAAATGCATACGACTGGAACGAGAACTCACATCATCTCTTATCAAACGATAAAATCCTCTTTCTAAATCTTCCACAAACATGTTGCAACGATTCTCGGCATGGGAATATTCTTTGTGTACTGTGCTTCTGTTATTCTATTTCACAGTTTTTCATTTGCCGCTAAAACTAAACACAATCCCTTAATCATTGACTACAAAGTACTGTAGATACAAATCTATACTCAAAGGTTGACTATATAGTCAAAGGTTTTACCAATTTCACCTTTACCACATCTCACACTGGCGAGTGACGAGGGGTGCAGATCTACCTGCTAAACATACATATACCCTTATTTTATTTTCTGCGCTCATTTAATTTGATGTAATTATCTTCTTAGCTTATGGAATAAACTCCTTAGGAGGACGAACATGTTGATTTTCTTACTTTCGTCTGCACCCTTTATATCTCTGATTCCACTATATCTCTGCACCCTTATATCACGGCATTCCTTACATCCCAGCAACCATTACATCTCAGTATTCCTAACATCTCTGCATCCCTTACATCTCTGCACCCTTATATCACGGTATTCCTTACATCCCAGCAACCCTTACATCTCAGTATTCCTAACATCTCTGCATCTCTTACATCTCTGCATTCCTTACATTCCTGCCTTATTTATATCCCAACATCCCTTACATCCCTGCATCCCTGCATCCCTTACATGCCTGTATCCTTTACATTCTTGTATCACTTATATTCCTGCATTCCATACATCCCAGTACCTCCCTCAAATTGAGTTGAAATTTTTGCGGCTACAAGGCCTGCGATTTTATACAAATTTAGTTCCTCTCTTCGCCACCAGAGGGCGCTGATTCGACATCGAAATTTTAGTTCACATTTTTGCCGCCAGAGGGCCAGAAACCGAGCAAGATTTAGTTCCTTTTTTCGCCGCCAGAGGGCGCTGATTCGACATCGAAATTTTTAGTTCCATTTTTTGCCGCTAGGGGGCGCTGTTTTTCGAAATTTTCGCGAAATTCTCGAAAAAGATAGCGCCCCCTAGCGGCAAAAATTTGAACTAAAATCTCGATGTCGAATCAGCGCCCTCTGGCGGCGAAAAAAGGAACTAACTTACCTTTCCTCGAAGCAGTCTTTATAATATATTTATTGTAAGGGATGTAGGGATGAAAGGAATGTAGGGATGAGAAGAATGTAGGGGTGTAAGGGATGAAGTGATGTAAGGGATGAAGTGATGTAAGGAATGTAGAGATGTAAGGGAGACTGAGATGATCTTGGCCTATAATGAGGGATAAAATTATATAACTAACGAGAAAAAGTAAAATAAATGGGGTCCTTGGCTGAGACCCAGAAGAGGGATATAATCATAAATATTATTCCCCTTCGATAAGCTTATTTAATAAGCAAAAGAAAATAAAGGAAGTAAATTAAATAAACTTTGGAAAAAAATTATACTGGTTGTGCCCTCTTCATACGGAACTGATATTATCCAGGGGTGTTAGGGACCCCGCCGCTTTAATGACGCCCTCTGGATACCGACCTGATATCGTTTTGGGGTGTTAGGAACCCCGAAGTACGTATGGCTCACTCTGTATACGGGCCTGATATCTTGGGGTGTCAGGGACCCCGAAGCTCTGGTTACTCTATCTGTATACCGATTAGATACCGTCCTGGGGTTCTAAGAACCCCGAGTACGGACGATTCTGTATACCTAAATTATATTGTCTCGGGGTTCTAAGGACCCCGAGCACCGACGATTCTGTATACCTAAATTATATACTATGGGGGTTCCAAAGACCCCAAGCACCGACGAATCTGTATACCGAAGTTATACTGTCTTGGGGTTCTAAGAACCCCGAGTACCGACGATTCTGTATATCTAAATTATATTGTCTCGGGGTTCTAAGGACCCCGCGCACCGACGATTCTGTATACCTAAATTATATAATACGGGGTTCCAAAGACCCCAAGCACCGACGAATCTGTATACCGAAATTATACTGTCTTGGGGTTCTAAGAACCCCGAGTACCGACGATTTTGTATACCTAAATTATATTGTCTCGGGGTTCTAAAGACCCCAAGCACCGACGATTCTGTATATCTAAATTATATTGTCTCGGGTTTCTAAGGACCCCGAATCTCGGAGGATTCTTCACACCGACAATATGGCATCCGGGGTGTCACGGACCCCAAGTAAATAGCGAAATATAAGAACGAAAAACGAACAAATCGTGAAACTCACTTGTTCGGAATAGTGATGGGTTTGACCGGATCTAGCGAAATATAAGAACGAAAAACGAACAAATCGTGAAACTCACTTGTTCGGAATAGTGATGGGTTTGACCGGATCTAGCGAAATATAAGAACGAAAAACGAACAAATCGTGAAACTTACTTGTTCGGACTAGTGATGGGTTTGACCGGATCTAGCGAAATATAAGAACGAAAAACGAACTAATCGTGAAACTCACTTGTTCGGAATAGTGATGGGTACGACCGGATCTAGCGAAATATAAGACTTAAAAACGGACAAATCGTGAAACTTACTTGTTCGAAGTGATGCATTTGACCGGAAATAGGGAAATATAAGGCCTAAAAACCAAACAAATCGCGAAATAGTAATTGCAAGATAGTGATGGATATGACCTATAATAGTGAAAGATTAGACCTAGAGAGAGTATAATACATTGAATGAAGAAAGTATCAGAATGTACTTAAACTCATTTGCATATCGACATAATGGCATCCGGGGTGTCAGGGACCCCGAAGAATAAGTCGGTATGTTGTCAAGTTCATAGTTTCCGCCGTTATATGATAAAAACCGGTCGATAAATTGTCAAGTAGTTTCAACTGCTTTTGTATAGATGGCGCCACCGTCAATTTTTAATTAATTTAGCAATTATTTAATATAAAGCATTTAATTTTGTAAATTTTTATACATCTGAACCGTTGCATGAAAACTATAATAAAGGCTAATAATACTAATACGCTGTAAAAATTTAGGTACCGAAGGTGTTGAAGAGAGTAGACCGCCTGACACATCAGGGACTATTCTACTTCGGTCTCCGTCTTGCAAGTGAAAAAAGGATGAAAAGTGAGACGTCACTTTGAAATTGAATTCCTCTGTAACACGTGTTCATAACTGATATCTTTCCAATGAAATTATGGGAATTTACTTTAGTAATATTTGACAATGTTTTGAAAAAATCATCATAAAAAATAATTTCAATGTAAAATCGTTTTAGTATATTTGATACTCAATTTAATAATTGAACAATAAATATTCTAAAAATATTCTATTTTTTATTTTTATTTCAGTTTAGTCCATGTTGTACAAAAACACGTAATACTTGGCCATTTTAAGAGAAAAATGTAATTTGTGAACAACAGGTGCTTCTCGTAGAGGGTGGAGGACTAGAGGGATGAGGTTGAAAATGCGCATGCGTTTGTTGGTTCACTAATACTCCACGTAAATCGACATTATCATGATAAAAACCTTTCTCAATCGGAACCTTGCTAAAAGTTCCTCAACCGTTCGTGATAGCGCATGCAATAATATCGGCATGTTGATAGCGGGGTGCACGATAGACCCTAGCTGTTTCTCTATTATCGTAGGTGTTATTATTTCTTTCTCTCTCCATTAATTTTTCTTCTCATTCTCCTCTAGCGATGGGATCGATCCCATACCCACCTAAGTTTATATTACATTCTGTCATAGTAGCATTACCACTACTTATACTGCACTTATATTCACCGTTTCATCTATGTTCTCCATCCAAAATCATTTACATTTTCTAGACTGATTTACATGTCTACATGGAATTCTGGTTGTGAATGAGAGTCCCTTTGATGCCGTATCAGTTGTTCACTCAATCATCCATGATAACATAAATTTTCTTCTGCATAGTTACTTGGAGTTCTACAAATGATTACATTATAGAATATGAAAATACTTTCCTCAGGCATTCATAGTGATTACTATTACACTGTTATATTTGTTTAAAATCATTTCAAACATGTACCTTCAAATAACTGAAAATTTAAATTTCAGAATTTCAGAATAAATTGCTGGTTGCCAGTGTTTTCAAGGTCCAGGTATCATGAGGGTATTGGTCCCATCGCTATTCGCATCCTTCGTCGCCTGGCAGCCGGCATGTGCGCGTTGCAATCGATTCCAGAACCAACGCATGCCCTCCTCTCTTTCTCCGTTCTTCGTGGAAGAATACTCCAGTCAGTGGCACCGTTGCGGTACAACAGGACGTGGAGAGTAGGGATATGATCTAACATGCCCCGAACGATCATTGTTCTTCTAAAAAATTAATCGAATCAAAGCGTGCGTTGAATCGTAGGCTCGCGACATAATGCATTAAAGTTAGTGGTAGGGTGAGAAAAGCACACGAGGAAAAGGTGTCACGCCCAGGTAAGCCGAACACGCGCGTTTCTTATCGTCCTCGAAGCGCCGCTATGATACACCACGCAGGTTTGCAAGGGTAAGGGAGGGAGAGAACGTGACTACAACCTGATGCTTCGAGCCCCGATTATAGAGCTAGACGTCAACGGTGCTTCGAGTGCTGTTATTTACATACGTGGAAAATTAGAAGGTGTTAATGTATAATTAGGTACTCGTTTCAATTTTATCGTACAACCTTGAAGCTTGAAAACACCATAAAGAAGAGATAGAATCAAGAACACTTTAATTTTTAACACTTGAATGCGGAAAGAATTCTTTCAATTTAATTTAGGCAATAAGTGTTAAAATCATTTTGATTTTTTAAATATGTTCCTTAAATGTTATTCATCCAATATATGAAAATCTTCCTTTAAAAATTTCAGTGTTCAAGTACAGTTTATATATTGTTGCACACCTTTACTAGGTCTGGATCACGATTGACCCGGCTATCACCGTTCGAGAGTTAATTACTTCAAAGTACGAACGTACCGAGAACATATTATGATCCAAGCTTCCAGATTGTCACGGTTTGCTAAGCTTCTTTGTTACAACAACGCAGTAATTCGCTTCGTTTTCACGTGTCGTTCTATTATACGCGCATCGAGTGATTGCGTAAATCCGGGTGCTTATGTCGTTACGCAAATGGGTGCTGTACCGCACCCTTTAAAACAATACCTGTCACGCTATTCACAGAGCTGATTCAATTGATGTACCACTGAAGATCTTGTTAATATTTATTGCTACACTTTGATGAATCCTTTGAATGTTTTTCATGCACTGCATTAGGTCGATTATTTAGAACATTGCAAACAGCTTGCACACTTTTAAGCAATTTAAGCTTTGTTGTAAATGATTCCAATTCGATGAATTTTATTCATAAATAAGAATACCATGGAACTGTTGATGAGAAAAAATATTATTAATAATTTGAGAAGAATTAAATCAAATTAAATTTACTTGAAATAATGGAAAAATGGAAAATTCTTACAAAATTAAAGTTGAAAATAGCAAGCTATGAGTTTGAAGCTTCAAATATTAAACTTCCTCCTCCCTCCATATACTAATAAAGAGAAGCATCAGAAAATAACTGTGCCACCACTTGCAAACTTCAAAGAATTTCTTCACTCTCTTTGTCTGCTCTATTATTTCAATTTATCCCTGGTATCCTTTATCTCTTACCCAAGGCAAGAGATGTCTGGTAACAGATTAAAAAATAAATTATAGATTTATCGTGTTCCCGTCATTTCAACGAAGAAACTAAATTAGACATGCAATTATAGGAACATCTATGGGCCGTACACGGTGGTGGAGAGGAGGCTTGGAGCTGCTGATGCTCTTCATCCTCCATCACGTAATTCTCGGTGATGGCGATGTCGGTGAGTACGATTCAAGATCATTTCTCCCCAAAGCGAACAAAGAAGCCTTTTCTTATGATCGCGACCGGTACTCGAATCAGAAGCAAAAGAGATTCTCTTTCAAAGATTAATTAATGATACACCAGACAGACATCCACCTGAAACAAATAATGAAAAGTAACATTCAATGTTTTTAAAGATAAATAGTTCTTGCAAATGTTGTAACTGAGACATCCAAAAGACCTACATTTTTATCTTTAAGTGATTAATACATTCGTGAAGATTTTATTCTTCCGGTCAGCACATTTCTTCTCTTCCTTAATAAGAACAATGCTATAGAAGAAGAATCATTTTTCAAGATCCAACGAAATCTTTCTTTTTTCCTTTTGAAGAAACCTTCATTAAAAATCTTCTATTGTGAACTTCTTCGACCATTGTTGAATTATAAATACTGCAAAAGAAATTGCAACATTGAACTTTATTTGAATAAAATATTGAAATACCAACAATTCTTAATGAAATACCAGCAGCATTTAAAGCGTGAATAAAAAGTAGACATTATGCAAGTAGAAAAGAAACATCAGTTACGTGATCTTGAATAATATCAGGAACTTAGTTCGCTCTTTTACCGTCCATAAAAAGGAGCGATTAAAGTGGAAAAAAGCTCGTGAAAGTTTGCATCCTTTTAACTTGTTTCACGCCGGAACTGAAATTGAATTTATTCCTGAAGCATGCTTAAACATCCCAGCATCAACTGCAATTCATTCTATCTCTCAAAATAAATATCGAAGAAATGATTGCTGCTTCGAGCGAAATCCTATTTACCGACCATTTTTCATTCCTTTTTTTCTCTTCTGGATCACCCGGAAGTTTCATTTGTTGCGAAATCCGAGAAGAAATGTATAAGAGTATTGAATGTACGATACGGGTATTAGTAATTATTAGATGAATCGAGGTATAGAATGCTATACTGTACCAATTAAAAGATTATATTTCTTCTATTGATCATTTCTGTGAAGGAACCTAAAAAGAAAAAACAGAATTGGTTAGTTCATCTAATCGTATTGTTCTGCCATAGAGATTAGACGTGATTGTTATAAATGACCTTGAAAATTTGGAGTTCCTTTTAGGGTAAGTGTGAATGATGAAGAAAAAAGTGGCGGGAGGAATGTGTTCGATTTTCGCCCACGACCTTTCGAGGATTATCGAACGGTGCATCCCACGCGACCGCCGCCTTTGCAAATGCTTCCTCTCTTTTGCCCTGGATCTGCCTTCACCTACATATTTACATTAGAACTGTATACCTTTTCAACAGTCGTCTTTCATTTCCTTATCAATTGCCATTGCAGATTTCTGCTAGTCCTTGATATTTGATTTTGAGATTTTATTTACAGTTTGTAGATCGGTTTACTTTGAATTCCATCGTACCATCTTTCTGTAAAGTTACCCCTTATGCTTCTGTTTGTTAAGAATCAAAAACTGCAACCTGAAAAAAATTAAGCACTTTGTAGTTTTGTTCAGAAGATAAAACAGATCCGAGAAAAAAAAAATATCATTTTTTCCGCGCTATCTTTATTTTCTTTTGTTAAATTTGAATTATCCGATCGATATTTGTAACACTGGCAATTTAATTTCGTCCCCTTTGAAAATGACACTAACGCCATCTAGGAATGAGATGCTGAATTTTGATTAAATAATTTGTCGGTATTTTACCCACGTAGTATTATTATGAATTATGGCAGGATTTTTAAAAACAGTTTCACAGAGTCTTCTAAATTTAGTAATTAATTTGGTATTTAATTCAGGCTGCCTATTCAGTAAGAGTCTCTGCGATCCTCGAACGGAGACATGTTATAACGGTAACAATTATATATAATTTAATGTATATAATCGGTATTGTTTAATATAAATAAGAGAAATTAAAATATTCCTTCAATATTTTAGACCTGGCGTTTGGTAGATGTTTACCTTTATACACTGATCTAACCGAGGAGGACTATTATCAGTAAGTATTTTATGTTAATAAATATAGAATACTTAGCTTTAGTAAATGTTCGCTGCAACGAATACTTTGCTCTTTTACTATTTGATCATAAAGCGACTATACTATTTCAACCTCCTTTAAGATCCATAACGTTTTCACTTCTTGAAAGCGAGTTATCTAAATAAAATAAAAATTGATAACAGTATGCTTGTCGTATGGAAAGAAATTATTAACAATATTAATGCTTACAGATACAACTTTGATATCGACGAATTGGAACAATTAAGACTGCAGTTGGAGAGGTTGCAAGGAGATGGATTCAAATGGTCGCATCCTTTCACACAATGTATTATGCAAACGTCCTTGTACAATTTACGCCATGGGTATGATTACTGTTTAATTTAATATGTATACGATTCGTTACTTTTGTATATGTTCCTTAAATTAAATTTTGGTGGAAGGCAATTTCTTCAAAGAAATAACTTTTATTCCAGAGAGAGTTACGACCTTCGACTCTGTCAGCATCTGAAAACAAGAACGCATTTTGAAAGCAAAAATAAAATTGAACAGGTCAAAGTTATTTCCATATTCTACAGAATTGAACATCAACTTTGGTATCTTACCTTTTATCTCACATCCTAACAATTTTCTTCTTTCTTAAGGTACCTGCAATAGCCATAGTGAAATTCACTCCCAACCATGGTGGATCCAATACCCAATTCGCCAACGAGTTGTATTACCCTCCTGGAACACAGACAGAGTATCTTGCTGATTCTTTATACAATGATCAGCTCCCTGGACAATCATACAGAGAACAGTCTAGAGAAACAGCTCCTCAATTTTACAAACCAGAGTACAATTCAAACTCCTACAATGAATACGAGTCCTTAACTAAAGAGAACTATGGGGAGGATGGAAACAATTTATTCCAGAAACCTTCAACTTTAAATAGAATTGATGAGAGATTATATAGAACCAGAAGACAGCCATATAATCTGCGAGATTATAGCAACAGCGCGATAAAGTCCATAAGAAGCGCATTAGAAAATGAAAAGGAGCAATCTAAAGACCTTACGAGGAATAAAAATCAAAATAAGATTGATGATCTAACAGCTGATGAATTAGAGTTCCTGATAAATGGAAAATCTGATGATTATCCTGTAGTTTCAAAAGAAACAGGAGATCATGAAGTCGAATATGATAAGGCATTTTCAAGAAAGTACAAACCAAAGAAGTTTGTCGACCTCCCAGATGATAGTGAAATTTTGTTGAATAATGTTAAACGTAATTCAAAGAACGATGATTACGTGAATGATGATTATGAGGATGTTAATGTCAATGGTGAATCGAGTCAAAGAGATACCACGTCGAGGGAGAATGTAATGTATAGCGAAGGAGGTCTTATACAGACTAAGGATGAATCCAACGATGATACGGATGGTAAATTTTTTTATTATAATAGCTTGGTAATTAATGAGATTGCAATATTGAAAATATCGATCAAGTTACAATCATTTACAGAAAACGCATACAACTTATTCGACGACGACCTGAACGAACTCCTTTGGAGACGCGAATTGGCTGGTTTTAAGAGACGAGAAAGACTGGACGTTAAGAAGCCAGGACCTCCGTTCTCCACAAACAACTATGCATTCAAAATACCATCACCGTCTGGTAAATATTCTCATATCGATTTAACTTCGTGCATTTGCAAGTAACTTTCATTAATTATGAACCTGTACAGGATTGGAAGACGAGGATCAGTCAGATTCAACCGAAACCGAGCAAGATGTAAGTGCAACCAAAATAAAATTAATAGCAATCCATCGATATTCACTGTGAATAAATATCACTGTCTAGAACGAAGTACTGCTATCTTCATTTGTGAAGAAAGAAGTGGGTGCTGGACAACAGGTAGATGGTCCAAAATCATACGACAACGTTGATCTGGATCACGTTTACATGGAGTTTCAGCAACCGTTTCACACGTGGTCAGAAGGCGAGCATGTGGTGAAAGAGGTAATCTTTGGCACGTCTGTAAAAATTCAGAAGGAATAAGTATTGCTTATTCAGGTGGAAAAATTACTGGAGCTAACACCTGGAGTGCTGAAAGACATTCGAGTGGGTCGGGCTGAAGTAACGTTTAAAGTTACTAAAAATAATAAGAATTATAATGTTACTGATGTTCTTAGCAGTATAGGTACGTAATCATGACAACAGTGCACATAAATAATGAAATTAATCAATTGTGTTTAACTTTCAGATGACATACGTGGAAAATTGAAGAAGACACTGGGTGTTGAGGTGATTCGTGCAGGCATAGGTGACAAGGTTCATCTGAAAACATATTTAGGATAGAGTATATGCTTGAAGTAATTAGAGAATCTTAACTCATGAATCTTACAGATTCTAATTAAATATCACTTAACAAAATGATTCTCTAATTTTCTAAGCAGTGTATTCAAACCGTATAATATAATTTCTTTGCAGAATAGTAATTAATATACTTATTTATTTAAAGACCAAACTGCCTGCAGCGTTGGAAGTTAGAAGCGAATATCATATGAGTTCTAGCATGTTTGGAATGATAGTGGCTGCAGGAGTTGCAGCCGCTATTGCAGCTGCAGCAATAACATTATTCATCGCTCGTCGTCATGCTAAATCCCGAGCCAAATTAGCAGGATTGGCTACGCCTGATCCAGAAGCCTCAAAGGATTATCAGGATTTATGTAGAGCAAGAATGCAAGCTAAACAACCGACTGAGAAAGCAGAATCTCCTCGTATCACCAGCCTGAGTCGTGAAAGTGAATCTAATAATTTGCCTTCGAATCGCTCTAGTACTTCCTCTTGGGGAGAGGAACCAGCTCTTTCAAATATGGACATATCAACTGGACAGATGGTTCTAGTGAGTTAACGAAGTTTACCTATAAAACAGAATTTATAATTGTAACTTATTTCATTACCCCTTTTGATAGGCGATAATTGCTTCTGTTTGCTTTTAATTGAAATACTTGTTTTTAAGAGTTACATGGAGGATCATCTAAAAAATAAAGACCGATTAGATCAAGAATGGGCAGCGTTATGCGCGTACGAGGTGGATCCATCGTCTACTGAAATCGCACAAAGTGACGCAAACATTAAATGCATTCGTCCTGGCGCAGCGCTTCCTTACGATCATTCCAGGGTGATATTAAATGACCTCGCTAATGCCAATAACTCCGACTATATTAACGCTTCAACAATCGTAAGTATTCTACAAATTTATTCATTCACTATTTCTTCAAAAGACGTTAATCATACGGTGAAGTTGATGAAATAATCTGCATTTCATTTTAAATTCATTGAAATGGAACTGAAAATAGAAATCGGTAAGTCACACGACGAGCATGTAGAATACGCTTTCATTTACATTCACAATTTACCAACCAGGCTTTTGCATAGATATTATCACAGTATTGCAAATCGAAGCATGAATTCAGGTATAATAAATAAGAGTATAATTTCATAAGTGAATTCAGTAGCTTTAATTAAACAAAAAAATAATGAATTCGTATAAACATTTCTTGCCTTCTGGTTTTGGTTATTAGACACTCTTTATCTGAGATGTTTATATGAATGTTTCTTCCAGTTTTATGCACTGAATCCATCTCTGAAGTTATCTCCATGTTTGCAGTAGATTTTACATAACTTTGCAATTTAAGCTATATGCTAAGCGTGCACTACATAGTTTAGACAATAGCTGAAATATTATAGAACAGTTTCGATTGAGAAGAACTTAATAAAAACAGACTTTCTCTTGTGCATAGGTACAAGAGTCTGCAAAGTAGCAAATGTGCTTTACATATATCAAAAGAAACCGTGTGACTTGCTTTAGTATTTACAATTATTATTTTAAAAAAGAAAGGAAAAGAAACAGAATCTTGATTATCCTTTTAGACTGATCATGATCCTCGAAATCCAGCTTACATTGCTACACAAGGGCCATTACCTCAGACAACGGCAGATTTCTGGCAACTCGTTTGGGAACAAGGTAGCGTCGTCATTGTGATGCTAACTAGACTCACCGAGGAGGGTGTAGCTATGTGCCATCGTTATTGGCCAGAAGAAGGATCAGAATTGTATCACATTTACGAAGTGCACCTTGTATCTGAACACTTCTGGTGTGACGATTATTTGGTACGTTCCTTTTACTTGAAGAATCTTCGCACCGGTGAAACCAGGACTGTAACGCAATTCCATTTCTTGTCCTGGCCTGAAAATGGCGTGCCAAATTCCACCAAGGCTCTCCTGGAATTCCGCAGGTAAGTATTCTTTAAATTCAAATTATTATATTGTATCTGCATCATGATATAAATTGTAAATTTTAGAAAAATCAACAAGTCTTACAAAGGCAGATCGTGTCCTATAGTAGTGCATTGCAGGTAAACTATAAGTAATTAATGTAAAACTTTCAGACGTCAGTTTTAGTTTGATAACGGATTTAAAGAAACAAAATTGATCAATTTACAGCGATGGTGTTGGTCGTACTGGTACTTATTGTTTAATCGACATGGTTTTGAATCGTATGATGAAAGGGGCTAAGGAAATTGATATAGCAGCTACACTAGAACATATACGAGATCAAAGGCCTGACATGGTTGCTACGAAACAGCAATTTAAATTTGTTCTGATGGCCGTAGCGGAAGAAGTACATGCAATTCTCAAGGCTTTACCCGTACCCCCCACGGAAAAAACTTCTCTTCTACCGAGCACTTCATCAACGAAGGAAGGCTAGTATAATTTCAATTGAATTCTAAACTCCATTCGCGGCAAGCAAAAACAAAGTATTAATTACAGTCTATCCAAAAAAAAAAAAAATGGCCAAATGTTTCTAATCCAAGGTAGTCATATTTACAAATCTAGAATCACTATCAAATCTTTTATTTTCTATAGAACTTTTCCCTTCGGAATATTTTTAAACATATTTTAAAATGATAGAAAGTGATCACGAGCTGTTAACAGATTTTACTCCAATTATGCTTCAACCCTGATTTTTTGGAACCCTGAGTTGATAAAAATAAAACATATGTACAAATCACTGTTTTCTACAGAACAATTCCTGCTGGCAATCTGTAATGTTTATTGTGCATTTTATTTATCTACGGCCTACTTAAATAATCAACTGCAAGTATATACATTCAAAAGACTGAGCTATGCAATTGTTGGAACTCTATTTATTGATTTATAATCAAATAATTTATATTCTTGTAAAATGAAATAATCTTTATTTCAATGAGATTTAAAATTATATTGCTTCATAGTAAAAACGAAGGCTTATTGTTGATTATGTAGCTCAGTCTTTATGGTATTTGTTCCATTATTAATAACTTATTTCAGCGAAATTAAAGTTATATTGCCTTCTCTAACGGATGACTTCACTAACGTGCTTTACAATAGCTTTAAACAAAATATCAAATATATATCGTGAAATAAACAATATAGTTCTATCTGCTCAGTCAATTTTATCAGCTGCATATAACTTAGTGCTCATGTTGATTACGGTATATAATTTATTTCTTCAATTAATTTGTGTTTGTGAAATGTTTCTGTTAAAAAGCACAAAAGTTGGAATCACCATTTTAGAGATTGAAATCAGAATTTTTATACTATTGTTACACGTTCTAAAAAAACATATGAATTTTAATGAACGGCTATGAATGTTATTTCCGTAAAATGAAATTTTATTCGACGTAAAATTTAACGTGGAAAGATCGCAAGAAGCACTATATATCAATCTCTTTTCTACGTGTACAAAAAAAATGATCGAGCTGCACAATATCCAAATTATGATTAAGTATCATAATAAACAAAAATTATCAATGTGAAATACGGATTATAGTGTGGCTGCAAAATGTAAACTTAATGTTCTAAACATCATACGAAAGTGTAATAAGTTAACACACTTTCCAAGTGAAGTGTTTAATTATTATATCATGAAAATGATATTAGGTGGTACATAAGAGAGAAAAAAAAATGTAAACGTACATGTTTGCACAAACTGTCGTGTCGATATGACGATTTGTAAATGGAGGTGCTGTCTTTAGTTTAAAATTACAGCATTGTTAATCCTGTATATCCAGTCTCCCACAGGATGAACATATTGCATTTAAAGTTCCTTCCTTGTCATTGTGCAGAACGATTACTGTCAATTAATGTATTCTCATTTGTATTTACATTTCGGTATTCATTTTACTAAATTAGGGTTCGAGATACAGTAACACATTTATTGGGTGCTGCAAATAATAAAAATAGGTCAAACGAAACAATTAAAGTCATATAATAAACAATACCAAATAGTTTAATTCTTACCAGAATCGATGAATACCAGATACTTTGCACATTTAAGTATACGGGAATTAAAAGTATTAATTGTAATAGTTTCTATCTTGTGCTGAATTACTACGAATAACGTACTATGAAAGTTTGCTTGACCAACTGATAAGTTTCATTAATCCTTTTTAGCACGAATTAATATAACAGATTCTATATTTTTATGCAAAGGATTGAATCTATATAAAGTGAAATAATATATGAATATATACTATGTTACTCAAAATGTAATACTATATGTGTTATAATATAATAAATCGCTCTATGTTCAAATCATACGGTAATCTTATTCTTCGAACTTATTTTTTTAATTACAATTCTTATATTTACAAATTATTTGTCAACATGAACAATTCATATTTTACAGTATTAATAAATAGTATAAAATTTAAATAGAAAATATCTTGGACATTTAAGAAAATTACTAAATTAATAAAATGTACTTCAACCTGGTCTGTGTTAATCATCTTGCAAAGTAGATGTGTATGTACCAGAAAATAAAGGATTCCAAAATCCTGAAAAATGTTGATATTTATAAAAGTTAGTACATATGATTTTATTCTTGCAAAACTAGAAAACAATACTAATGATATTACCTTCGGGTGTATCCCCCCTTTTTTTTTCATTAGTTCGATGCCGAGAACACTGATTCTGTCTTGCTTTTATTTCTTCTTCCGAAAGTCCGAGATTAGCGTAATACTAAACAGAAAAATCTTTAAGTAATACTACTTGATTTTTGTTACATATAATTGTTACATCCAATACCTTTTTACATTCCCAACAAGTAACACCAGCCATCTTTGCTCTGTCCGATTTTTTCTTTGAAGGCTGATCAATTTCTACATTCTTTCTCTTGCATGGCCTTTAAAACAAATGCATTGTATGTCAGTATGTATTTAATAAGCTATTATATTTAAATAAACAATGCTTACACATCAAAACTACTCATAAGACTCCTCCTTACAGGTGAAGATTTTGGTAATCTATCATCTTTAATTTCTTTGAGCTTTTCTCCTATCAAACAAAATGTTTCATCATTTTCATATGATGAATTATTCTGATGTTTTTGGTCACTTAATTGTGAATTTGACCCTTCTTTTATTTGATTATTATCTTTTACACTGTCTAACTCTTCATTTTTTTTTATTACAGTCAATAAGTTTTTATCATCCACATAATGCATTTGTTCAACAGTATCAACTGGAGATAAAGAAGAGCTTATATCACGATTCGTTTTAATCTTTTCATTATTTGAGAAACTAAATGTTTTGAATTTTCTAATTGGAGATAACTGACTTTTTTGTTCAGATGCACATGTAGATAGTGAATTCTGATTAAAGGTTAATTGACCACTTTCTTTTAAAGGGAATTTGGCATTATTATTTCGAGTAATCTTAATAGGAGTCTTTCTCTTAACTTTCAAATTTTTTATTCTTAGATTTAATTCAGCATGCTTATTAGGGCTAACTTGTATTATTTCTTCATCTATTGATTTATTCTGATCTTGATTTATCCTTTTAGGCGAGGATAATCTGTTATCTGCTGATTGTTCAGATGGAAGAAATACAAGTTTTGATTGTTTTATTTTTTTCCCATTTTTCAATAATGTAGTACCAACATTATACAGCTTACTGACTCCCAATTTTCTTGGTATATTTGCCATAGGTGTACATTGTACTTCATCATTGTTTTCATGAATTGAAAATAATGAAGGTTCATCATCCTTTGATTCAATGGATAGTTCAGATTTTTGAGAGCTACTTGTCGAAACAAAAAGATTCTCTTTTATTGGTAAATAATGCTGTACTATGTTTTCATTAGAATCGTTTGAAGAAGAATGACTGGATATATTATTGTTTTTCCTGTATCTGAAACGATCTTTTATAAGTATTGGACTGCTTGGTAATTTTTTTTGGTTTGTTTGTTTGTTGTCAAATTTATCATCATATGAAACACTTTCATCCAGTACAACAGGAATACTTGTACCTAGTATCTGACTTATATCAGATGATTCTGTAGAACATCCATATTTTTGTGATGATGTATTGCTAAAATAAAATTTAATATAAACAGTATCTGTTTAATAATATAAAAACATTTAAAACAATATTAATACTTTTATGAAACAAAAAGAAAATTAATAAAAAGAAACTTAACAATTAACAGAAGAAAATTAACAAAACAAAACAAAACTTACACATCTGTGTTAGCAGTATCTATATTACTATGACAATCTGACTGAAACAACTGAAATGGAATCTTAAAATTGGCATCTTCACAATACTTTCTTAATTTTAAGTATTCATTCCATAATTCTGTAAATAAAAGAATTTTGAAGATTTCAATTCAACTACAAATTTCATTGAAAATTGTAGCTATAATATAAACTGCTTTATTAAAACTTTGTTTTTATATTGCGTTTAATTAACTGATGATAAATAAAATAAAAAACAATAACTCCAAAACATAATTAACCATAAGAAACAAAATAAATGAAATGCATATTTTGTTAACACAGAAATAATATGTATATGATATGTACTTACTTTTATATTGCTCGAATGTTTTTCCAAGCATTTCAGCAAAATTTTTCGTAGCATTTCGCGCGATTTCATTATCTATAGAACAATCAAGTTGTAGAACATCTGACATAGTCATCAATAAAATAAACGAGGTTAGACGTTTATTTTCTTGAGCAATTTGACACCCCGTCCTTTTTTTGCGTGTACTGTTAATTCGTTGAGTCTTTTTATTGTGTATATTAATACCACACGAGTATATAATGGAACAAAATCAACAAAGCAAACAATTTATTAGTCATTCCCACAACGATGTACTCTTGTTCACTTCATTAAATGATTCTATAGTGCGCTCCCAGTTTCTTTCAAATCGAAGCACAGTTCGCCATATCGTTGTATGCAGCTTGCCGGTATAAAAGCTCACATCCTAACCTCATTTTCATGTACGTGTTCTCTTCTAATTACTTCAATCTGAAATGTTTGTGAAAGTTTCATTAATTTTTACCAATTCTTATTTATACTTCATTAAAAGATTACTGTTTCAGAAGTTTATCTTCAATTTCTTTCAATGCATGGTTGAATATTCGTTTAACATAATTTTGTAAGTACCTAACCAAAAAGTATTTCATTTATGGTATTGTCAATTTTTAAACACGAACCTCTGAATTTGAATTAAAATATATAATTAGATTCTTTCATTCCCGTCCTAAAAGAATCCTACTGTATTTATGTATTTTTGTATCTTTATTATATAGATATTTTTTATGTACATTACATCCCGTAAATACTTCAATAATAAATAAGCATTAACATCTTATATAAAAAAATCTTATGCAACAAATAAATGTTCAGAATGCATTCAAGTTTGAATATTTCCTGAACACATTATTCTTTCATTTTTCTCTTTCACTTTTTGTAGTTATCATAAAATATTTTACTTAACATAAATCATATAATGGTAAATATTTTTAAATGAAGTTTTGCTTGAAATAAAATGAAAATATCCCCCTCATAAAGGAAATATTTGGTTTAAAAATTTTGAGATGCACGTACATTGAACATGTGCCTTTTATGTACGTACAGTTTTAATGTCAAACAAATAAATTCATATCTGAAAATATATTAAAAAAAAAAAAAGAAACTATTAAGATTTTTAAAGCTCTTACTTCATATATCATGTAAATGTGCACTATAAAGAGCATGTTGATATTATTAAAGATACAAGTACTGTATTAAGTAACTGGTCAGGTATCAATAATACATCAATTATATACAAGTATACACCAAATGTGCACTTACAGTTATGAACAGATAGTAGAGTCTATAAACAACTTGGCTGCAGTTGTACTTCCATGCCTAGTTAATTTAAAAAATAGCAATTTAGACCTTTTCCAACTTTATACAGAATAATAGCTTAGAATGCTGTAAAGAGTTATATATATACACAAATCATTATGAGCTGTATGCTGACTGAGAGGAAGTTGAGGGCAGGAAAAGATTCTGTGTTAGGTTGGATGCTGGTTTACCTGGGGGTCGGGTGATAACAGGGGAAGGATTGCAAGTTTCCAAACCATAGCGCGACATGAGCGCTAATAATGCACTGCGAACACCAGCTGTAGCCACTTGGGACCACCTTCCAGAGCTCATTGCATCATCACCAGCATAAACTGCATGCGCATCAAAATTTCCTGACTGAGTTGCATTTGTATCTGTGAAAATGAAATATAAGATAGTACCATATCAGAGATATATAAAATGAAAACAAACAAAGTGAAACTTACCTAAAGATGATGGATTTAATCCAGGAATATGAGAATCTACTAATCCACTTGGTCTTGAATTTGCAGCAAGTCGGAGTTCAGCATGCAATTCCCCTAACAACTGTACTACTTTTGGGTCACTCTGTAATTTAAATAATTGTTTGTACCATTAAACCATGGAAATAGAATAATACTGAAATATAATTTATCATCAGGAAGAAATCAGAGTAATGTATAAAACGTTTAAAACAACGTTCTTAAATAGTTTACCTCATTTTCTAATCGGAGTGACATGAGATCTTCAACACGAATTGGTTTTCCCTGATTTAATGTATTTGTAAGAATACTTAATTTTCGAGCAAGGCTATCTTCTGCGCATAATTCTGTTATGTGAGAAGTATTATCTCCTTTGGGCCGTGGTGTAACAGATGGAGGACTAGTATAATAATATGATGGTGATGAGACCATGTAAGGTCTACTAGCATCTCCCTTGGACCGTGGTGTAACAGGTGTAGGACTAGTGTAATAATATGATGGTGATGAGACCATGTAAGGCCTACTTTGGTTAAACATATTATCTCCCGCATAATGAGATTCCGGACCAAGACGATTTGGATGAGAATTGTAACCTGCTTCCATTTTTAAACGTTTGGAAGACCTGAAATCAAGTCAAAAATTTATTTCAAAACTATAAAAATTTCACCAACTTGAGTATTTTAATAAACATAACTGTTCATCAAACTGTTATGTTTAAGATATGTATTAAATTTAAGACATTTTTGTATAAAAAACAGAAGTAAGTAATAGATGTATTTAATGATACATATAAATATTTGATGGCAAAGGTTACATGTTATTATGAAAATTTATAGACTACCATGAACTTGTACAATAGCTTCTGCAATGATTTATGCTATGTTAAAATGAAATTAATGCTTTTTGAAGCTAACAGCATATTAATGATGTTAATGTATTTATGATAGTAGAAGTAATATCAATAAAATAGAGTTTTAGATACAATTTCATATTGATGTCATGAACACAAATGGTAACATTTATTATGACAATAACACTTATCTGATAATCCATAAAAATCATGCAAAGAAATATGGTTTGTAAACGTGCATGTTGAAGAAAGCATAGCTAAGAAATCAATAATTTATATGGATATACATGCAATTTAATAGTCATAGCATATCAATTTTTATTTCTATTTTTAGAAATTTTATTTTTTCACAACTTATGGTATACTTATCATTTATACCTCTATAATTGAATATGACAAAATGATTTTATAAGTGAATCATAAATATTAAGGTCATAATGTAACTGTTGAATCCATTTCATCCTCAACTTTTCTGCACAAAACGATCAAGCCTTTTTATTTTAATTATAAAGCCCAAGCAGATGAATTTGTTATATGATACACAAAACCAAATCTGATATGAATTATTAAACTGGACACCCTGGGTATAAACATATATAAATTTGAACATTTATTACCTATTTATATTCTTTATAAGTGTTATAAAATTTGCCCTTTATCATTCAGCCACAATAACATTACTTCCTGAAACATAATTTTTTTCTTCATTAGATATTTTGCCAATTTGCATTTGTTTATAGTTATTGTTATTTTATGTTTGAAATATCATGTTACTTTCTACAAATTCCACAATGTAGTATATGAACAATTTACAATATAATTAGAGAATTTATTTTATTTATATATATATGTAATAAATCATGTATCCATAACCAAATGAATATTGCTTATAGAAATTGTACAGTAAGATCAGTGGTTATGTATCAAGTACTTTTCTTTATAACATACAATGTATTTTGTATACATTTTCCTTAAATAAATATTATGTACAATATAAATATATTTATTTTTATTAATTACAGATTATTAATATGTACAAATAACAAAAACTGACGAATTTTTAACAACTTGAGTTTAATATGAATTTGATTACACAAATAAAAAAAAAATTTTTAATATGTGCTGTGTAAAACAATTTTTAGATTTTATAAAGCCTAGTGTAATGAAACTTTTAACTATCCTGAAGATTCTGACTTGAATTACAATTTGATTTATTTCTTTTCTAAGTATAAACTTTTTATTATACATTACTTTAGAGAAGCACATATTGTAATTTGTACAAGATTTCAATTAATAAAGATCCTTAAGATAGAACACTGAATGATAAAAGTTATGTAACTCATAATAAAATGTTTATTTAAAAATGAACTACATGAACTTTTCAATCATCTGGTTACTAAACACTGTTCAATATCTACACAAAAAGTTCAAACCACTTGTTTTCTTTTACAGTATCTCTATAACATTAATACGTTACTTATTTTTGTACAATCTATATTGAAGCAACAAATATGTTAAATATCTGTTTGAACTTATCGTGGAATAAGTAGAAAAATAACATGTACTTTCACTTATTTTGAATGAGTACATCATTGTGTACACTGGCATTATCATTCATTCCCAAGGTCCCAGTGTGCTTTGTCAAATACACTTCCTTTGAAAGATCATGATTACTTAGTTCATAAATTAAAATATAGAAACATTGAAAGGGACTAAACAAATTGAATGATAAAATATTTTAATAACATTGGAAATTCATTGTCCATCAAAATATTCGGCAAACTGCCCATGGACATTTAGTAAATATTTTATATTACAATAATTCAATATTATTTTACATTGTAATGATAATACATTAAGTTTATCCAAATTTCAAATTTCATTATAAGAATGGCATTGATATACATGCACATACAATGAAATTATATAACAAATATCAATAAGTGCCATTCGTATATTGAAACTTATAACTATCTACAATACAGAAGAACAAACTATAACACCGTTGCGGAAATATGATCAATTAAAATATACCTATGCTATAAATGTGAATGTTTAAATAAATCTGAATTAACGTAAATAAAATAAAATATTGACAGGGATGACCGTAATATTAATATTTTGCATTTTACATTCACATTTTAAAATCTTGACTTCTTGCATTCCACGTCTTCGATCTTCCGAACAGCTTCTTCTGACCATCCATGTTTACCTATTTACACTTCAGAGCTTTAAATATAATCATTTGCTCGCATCGTTTTCTCATTCATATTTTTTTTTAATTTTTTTTTTTATCGTTTCATACGGTTGTAAATATTTCAATTTAATAGTTTAATATAAAAATTAACATGTGAAATTTCATTAATTTTGATCTCTTTTTATTTACAATTACGTTATTCTACTACTATATTTTTTTGCATTTTTTTTAACGATTTATTAGTTAAAGGCGAATATTTCATAGATATATATGTTTATATCAGTGATACAATCACGTATATTAATAATCATATGCATATACACGTAAATTATGTAAATGCATATGTATATATTTTTTTTTATGAAAAATTATACAGATGTGCATGTATTTTACATACACAAATATGTCATAATATATGCGTATGTATGTTCATGCACACATTGATTAGCATATATGTACATATTTATTTACGTATTGGTCATAACGATGTTATATGTAAAAAATACTTCGTACTTTTTTTTTTCAAGTTCGTATGATTACTTTCTAAGGCAATCAATTAAACTGAATCACGCATGGATTTCAGTAGAGGATAATACGTTTTCCTTTTACCATAAAAATATCTATATAT